TAGAGCATTTGACCTGGAGTCAGGAAGACGAGTTTTCCTGAGTTTAAATCTGGCCTTAGACACTTAAGAGCTATGTGATCATGGGCAAGTCACTTAATCCTGTTTGCCTCCGTTCCTCACCTGTAAAATAGGCTAGAGAAGAAAATGGCAAACCACTCTAGTATCTTTGCCAAAAAAACAACAACCCCAAAACAAACCCAAAGGAGGTCACAAAGAGTCGGACATGATGAAAACGACTGAACAACAACGAAGAGCTAAGGTGTCAGAGGAGCTGGAAGAAGTAGTCAGGTTTCTCCCTTTCCCCACCAACAATTCCTCCAAATGGACCTAGAAATTGGAAAATCCAAGAAAAAATCATAGTGAGTTATTTTTCCAGCCCAAGTCCACATTGGAAGGCAGAGAAGCCAGAGAAGTCTGCAGTCCCTGGTGATCAGATCTGGCCAGGAACTGTAGCACAGAGCCCTCCAAGGCAAGGAAAGGCCCCACATCCAGCACAGAAGGGCCTAAATTTGTCCACGGTCCAGAAAGGGTGCAGACTAAAAGCTCTGTTGCTTATCACCTAGTTCCAAGCCAAGACTAAACTGGAGGGAGAGCTGGTGTGTGATTTTTTTTGTTCGAAGATGATTGTACCCTCAATGCAATCTCTGAAGCTGAGATGCAACAAAGTATGGATCGATTTTCTGTTGCTTGTGTTAATTTTGGCCTGACAATTAACACCAAGAAAACACAGGTTCTCCACCAGTCAACACTGTACCATCCATATGTGGAATCATCGGTTATAGCAAATGGAGAAATTTTAAACGCTGTGGATAAGTTCACTTATCTTGGTAGTATACTTTCCAGGGATGTACACATTGATAATGAGGTTGAAGCATGAATCGCTTAGTGTTTGGGAGGCTCCAAAGGAAAGTGTGGAAGAGTAGAGGTATCAGACTGTTTACCCAACTGAAGGTCTGCAGAGCTGTTGTGCTGACCTCATTGTTGTATGCCCATGAAACCTGGACACTGTACCAATGCCATGCCCAGGAAAGTGAATCTCTTCCATTTGAATTGTCTTAGGAAGAGTCTAAGAGTCTACCTGGCAAGATAAGGTACTGGACACTGAAGTCCTTTCTTGAGCCAAACTACCAAACATTCAAACTCTACTGTAGAGACAGCAACTCTGATGGGCTGAATGCCAAATGTATGTGTGCCTAAAAGTCTATTTTATGGAGAACTCTTGCAAGGCAAGTGCTCATGTGAAGGGCAGAAGAAGCAATACAAGGACACTCTCAAGACCTCTCTGAAGAACTTTGGAATTGATTGTGTAACATGGGAGACACTGGCACAGAACTGCCCAGCATGGCGTGCCCTCATCAGAGAGGGTGCTGTGCTCTATAAGCAAAGCAGAATTAAAGTAGCTCAAAAGAAACATGAAATGTACAAATTTAGAGACATCTCCACTGCAAATATTCATGTGGACCGTTTGTGCCCACCCTGGGGTAGAGCCTTCAGAGCTTGGACTGGTCTGATCAGCACAGCAGGACACAGTGTACTATGACGCTAACATAGTGATGTCATTTTGGTCCTCTTACAGAATGAAAGACACCAACCAACTAACCTGGATCCCCTGATTCCTTGTCCTATTGCATGTCATATCTCGCCAAACCCCAGTCTTGGTTATTCATGCCATCTGCATCCATCTGGCACTGAACAGAGCTGGAGAAAATCACAAATCGGTGCTGACTGGATACATTGTCACTGCGTTCGCTACATTCAACTGGGCTCTTTGCAAGAAGGCAACCATTCTATTCCTCCCCATCAATGTCACCCCATTTTTCTTAGCAGCCATTTACACACCTTTTTGTTGCTCCTCAAGCCTCCCACACCACCTTTTTCCAGTCTTGGCTGAGGACATTATTTCACTGAAAAAATTCCCTTCACCCACTAGCTCTTCCTTTACTCTAGTCTCAGATAAAGAGGAGGCATTTCTTGCCAAAGCACATCTCTTCATATACATCTTTGATCCCATTCCCTTCCTCTTTTTCCCATAGACTGCCATTGCAATTCCCACTGTCTCTCTGTCCTCTGGCTTCTTCTCTACTACCTACAAACATGTCTGTGTCTCCCAGTCCTTAAGAACAAAACCCCTCACCTGATCTGACCATCCTTGCTATTATCCTGTGTCTTCTTACCCTTTCCTAACTAAACCAGACACTTATACAGTGTCTCCACTTCCTCTCCTTTCACTTTCTAAACCCTCTAAAATCTGGCTTCTGACCTCACCATTAACTGAAACTGCACTTTCCAATTTCACCAATGATCTTTTTTTTTGGCTAGGGAATGGGGTTAAGTGACTTGCTTAGGGTCACACAGTTAGTACGTGTTATGTGACTGAGGCCAGATTTGAGCTCAGGTCCTCCTGAATCCTGGGCCAGTGCTCTATCCACTGCGCCACCTAGCTGCCCCTCCAATGATCTCTTAATTGCTAAGTCTAGTGACTTTCTCAGTACTCATCTTTCTTGACCTCTCTTCTCCTGAATACTCTCTCTTAAGTTTTTGCCATTGGTCTGTTGCATCTCCAAGAATATCTGATTGCTCCTTCTTAGCCTCCTTTGTTAGTTCTTCATTTGTCATGCCCACTAATTGTGGGTGTCCCCCAGAGGGCTGTCATGAGCTCTCTTCTGTCTATATTTTATGGGGGATCCCATGGGTTCAATCATTATCTTGTCAGTTAAATAATAAACATCTATTAAGTACCTATAATGTTTCAGGCCTGGTCCTAAGGGCTGGGGATATAAAAAGTGGCAAGGAGCTTACAATCTAATTGGAAAGACAAGTAAAGATGCATAAACAAGTTATATACAGGATAAGTCGGAAAACATTAAGAGGGAAGGATTGGGAAAACCTTCCTGTATGTAGATGCGATTTTAGTTGGGACTTAAGGGAAGCCAGTGGATGGAGATAAGGGAAAGCATTTCAAGAATGGGAGATACCCAGAGAAAATGCCTGGAGCTGAGATGGGGAGTAAAGTGTAAGAAGACTGGAAGGATAGGAGAGGGTTAGGTTGTGAAAGGCTTTGAATAGAAAACTCTAGGATCAAATACATCATGTCTGGTGTTTAAGACCCTTTACCACCTGGCCGCCTTCTGCCTTTGGAGTTGTCTTTACCTCTCCACATAACTAAAATATGGATCTGGAAAACGTGATGCTCCACACCCTGTCTTTTCATTGGATCTCTCCCATGCCTGAAACGGTCCCCCTCTTCTCCACTTCCTGACTTCCCCAAAGACTCAGCTCGAATCCCACCTTCTGTCCCTTCCATCTACACTGTAGAGATCTAGGATATACAGCTATTTGCATATTGTCTCCCCATTAGAATGTGTTCCTCGAGGGCAGGGACCATGTTTCTGCCTCTCTAAGTGCTGAGAACTTAGTATTATGGAAGGACTTAGAGGTTTATTGCTATTAGATTAATATCGCTATTAGAATAAAACAAACTCTTTGGCTTTTAAGAGACTTCACAGCCTTGCCCCAATTTCCCCCACCTCACTGCATGTTATGCTTCTATATGTTGTGATCAAACGAAATTGGCTTTCTCTGTTCCTCAGAGAATGCTTCATCTCACTGACTTTGCAACGTCTGTCCCAGGTGCCCATGCGACTGAAAACTTCCTCTTTGCAGCTGCCTCAAGACACAGCTTAAGTACCATCCTCTATATGAAGTCTTTTAAAAACCATTTCTCACTCCCAAATGCTAGTGCCCTCCCTTAATTACCTTGCATCATATATGTGTGTGTGTGTGTGTATATATCTTCTGCTACCCACAAGCACGTGTATATATGTACATTTCACACTCACATGCATGTGTGTGCATCACATACTTGTAGCCCTGTTAGAACGTAAGCGAAGGAACTGTTTCATTCTGTGTATCTCTAGCAGCAAGCAGTGCCGGGAATATGGTGGTGCTTAGTAAATGCTTGCTGGATTTTCCATCTCAGAAATGTCAGTTGCATCCATGCCTTCCGTTCCTTTCCTTTGCCATTGCCTGGGCAACAGTACAGGCCACTTTTCTCTCATTGTCCTTTTGCTCTTTCATCAAGCTTTTTGAAGGTGGGGAGGTTTCTGGTTTTAGTGTCCCCTAGGCTGCCTAAGATTTAAGTCTTACGTGGTGACATGGTAGGGGGACCGTGTTTGGGTAGCTTCTCCATCTGCTTCCAAGTCTTTTTCCTTCTTAGGCCCTCTTCCTCCCATCTTTAGAAGTGTTTGAACTGATCCACTGGCCTGTTTGGAAATCACCTTAGAGGGAGAGAGGGAAATCTGGAATGAAGGGGTTAGTGTCAGCCTGAGATAAGAGTCATAAAGGGTGATTTTCTTTAGGTCTCCTCAGCTACAGGAGATTCTGCAGCTTAGTACATAACTTAGTGAATGCCCAATCCTATTTATAAGGCCAGAGCTTCTCATATCTGCTTGGTTACAGAGACTGACTGGAGAGTTTTCACATATGGGATGGGAGGGCAAGTCCTTACTGAGGGGTGGCGGAAGCCCTTCCACAATTCAAGCACATTCATTTAAACCTTGCAAAACCCCAAATGAATTCAGGAGTAATGTATTTGGTACAAGGAACAACAGCCTAATGCCACTAAAAATTTTTTTACCCCTTGCCAGGCCCCTTCCTCTTTATTTGCTTCTAGTACACTTGGCATAAATGTTGTTTACTCAAAAAATGCCAGACACAGATCTGTCTCCTGACTCCTACAGAAGTGGGCTCCAATAAGCCTAATTCTTTGGACTCTTAGGTATTTGGTGTTGTTGCATATACACTGACTACATCCCTAACTCTGAATGGTCACCTAGTAAATGCTTATTAGTGGTCACATAAGTGCTAATAATAATATGGTTGGTCCAGAACAAAGCCTGTTATTACTACTCAAAAGAATATGATCTGTTAGCAGTGGACATACACTCTCGTCATAAAAGCACAAATCTGGAGTTGGGAACAAATAGAACGCAGTTAATACCTTACAGAGCAGATAGTAAATTTATAGAACATATTACCTCAAAAAGTCTTATAGGCTATAAATGTAATAGGTTCGAAAAGTGTTTAGGTAAATTACTGAGTGAATAGTTTCTTAACAGGTTATTAAAGGGAGCTGAGAAGGGGTGGGCTCACATCCTTAATAGTTTCCTCCAGTGTCCTTCCATACTACTGTCAGATGAATACTGGCCTACATGGCTAATGTATCTGACTTAATATGGCACTATGCTGTCACTGTCTTTGAAACCCTCATACATGGGGGAAAGGTACAACCCATAAACAATCTATTAATAAGGTTTGTCCATGTACTGACATTTATCCCTTAGTTGTCAGTTCTGCCGAAGGAACTGGAGACTAGGAATAGGAAACATCAATAACAAATATATTTAACTTTGTACAACATTTACAATTTACAATGCTCTTATAAAATGGTTTTGCATTTTGGACCTAGAATACTGAGAGAGGAAAACACTCCGAGTTTTGGTATTCAGAAAGTTCTCAAAATACATGAATGCAAAAAAAAAATTTGAACCATTTCCCCCCAGAGTTCTCTCGTAGTTTCTCATTTTATCTTCGTTCACCCACCACTAAAAGAAGTGGCATCTGCAGTCTTTCTCCACACCTCTGGCCTCTCACAAGAGAGCTCCCTTCACTCTCCAGTCCTGAGACAGCAGATCTTGCAGCTCCCCCTCATCGTCGCTGTCGAGGTTCTCCTCCTCCTTTTTCTGCAATTCCCTCAAAGTCAGCACTTCCTTCAGTTTACCCTTCAGGACGTCCTGGCGGTCCCGGAGGACCTCCACCCGCCGGTAGCACTCGATCTGCTCGTCGATCTCACCGATCTGCCGGTCCAGCCGCCCCTCCTCGTCCTCCTCGGCCACGATGGCCTCGGAAATGGTGTTGACCTGCCTCATGGCCTTCTGGAACTCGTCCCACTCCTTGTCCATCTGGTCCTTGGGCGCGTCCACTTTCCGCACTTTGGCGTCGATCTCGGGGTCATCGAAGAAGCCCTCGGGCAGGGCCTCGGCCGTGTTCTCCCGCCTCTCCACCATCTTCTCTTGCACCTCGGCCTTCTGGATGGACCCCGAATGGGAGACGACGGGGGCCGTCGGGGCGTCCTGGTCGAAGAAATCGGGGGGCAGAGCGCTGGGAAGCTCCTGCGAGGAAGCGGGGGCCGGGGCCTCGCTCTTTCCTTCTTTCTCTTCTTCTTCCTCCACCTCCTCTTCCTCGTCGTCGTCGTCTCCGTAGTCCGGGAGCAAACTGAGCCCCGACGCTTTTCGGGGGGCCTCCTTCGCGCCCGAGTCAAAGAAGTCCACGGGCAGCCCAGGGGCTGCGGGGGCCGCGGCCTGGGAGCCGCCGGCTCGCGCTCTCTTCGCGTCGGCCGGGTCGTCCAGCTCGGGGCCGGTTCTCTTGGCCGGCGGCTGAGGCTGCGCGGGGCCCGGCCCGGGCTCCTTGGGCCCCTTCAGCAGCGCCACCTTCTCCTTGTGCTGCTTGCCTAGGACGTGCGTGGGCCACAGCAGCTCGCTCTTCACGGGGACGCCGCACAGCGCGCAGCTCAGCTGCCCCAAGCGGTTGTACTTGGCGAAGGGGGACTCCACTCGCTTCCGGCTTGCGCTGAGCCGCTGCTTCTCGGACTTCATGAGCCGCCGCAGCTCGTCCTGCTTCACCGTCCGCTTCCCGGCCGACGCGGGCGACGCCATCTTGGCGACCAGACTCAGCAGGCACAGTTTCGCTTCCGCCTTCCGGCTCCTCTTCCACAACATCCTCTTGCGTCACTTCCGTCCGCGGCACCCCGGTTCGCGGATTGGCCGGGGGTCTGACCAATGAGAAAAGGGGCGGGGTGTTTCTCGCAGCCGCCGGGGTGGAGTGTGGTCGATCAAGCTCATCTATTTTTTTTTTCTTCTGTTTTTGGCTTTTGTTTTTAGAGGAGCGCTGGGATGGCGGCCGTGAAGGCGCTCAACCCCAGGGCAGAGGTGGCGCGAGCCCAGGCAGCGCTGTCAGTTAATATCTGCGCGGCCCGGGGGCTACAAGACGTGTTGAGGACCAACCTGGGGCCCAAGGGCACCATGAAAATGTGAGGGGGAGGGAGGCGGTGCTCTGGTGGCCGTTTAGAACGCTGGGGGCGTGGCTCGCGGAGGGGCGTGGCCGGAGAAGCAACAGGCCGCGGAGGGGGCGTGGCCTGTGGCGATCCCTGGGGGGCAGGAGTGGGCGGGGGAAGGGGGCGTGGTCCCAACTCTTTAGGCGCGAGGAGGCACTTAAGTTGCCCGTTCCCCACCCCGCCCTCCAGTGGTATTAATGAGGGAGAGCACTGAGTCTGGCGTCCGAGAATTATCACCTTTGCTAATTACCCAGTGTGACCATGGGGTCACAACCTCTTTGAGCCTTAGGTTCCTCATCTGACAGATAAAGGGGTTCATTAGATAGCCGACAAGGCCCCCACCAGCTATAGACCTGGATAGCCGACAAGGCCCCCACCAGCTATAGACCTGGATGGAAGGAAGGAAAAGAATAAGTACTTATTAAGCACCTGCTGTGTGCTGAGCTCATTACAAATATCTTATTTGATCCTCACAACAATAGGTGCTATTATACCTGTTTTACAGCCGAGTAAACTGAGGCAGGGGATGGCTAGGAGTAAACTGAGGCTAGTGGATAGAGCACTGGGCTTAGAACCAGACTCACTGAGTTATAATTCGGCCTTACTAGCTGTGTGACCCTGGGCAAGTCGCTTAACCCTGTTTGCCTCAGTTTCCTCATTTATCAAATGAGCTGGAGAAGGAAATGGCAAAACACTCCAGGATCTTTGCCAAGAAAACCGCAAATGGGGTCGTGAAGAGTTGGACATACTAGAAAAATGACAATAGCAAACAGGCAGACATTCAATAACTTGCCCAGGGTCACACAGTTTGTATTTGAGGAAGAATTTGAACCCAGGTATTCCAGACTTTCAGCTCAGCGCTCAATCCATTGCACCCCCTGGCTTGACTCTGTCCTGCTGAAAGGAGCAAAATCCTCCCTGACTCCCATTTTCTGTGTGGTGGCTCCTGTTTTGAACTGCTTGCCCCCCTGGGACTCTGCCATTGCTATTTCCCAAGTGGCTAGCAGACCTAACTCTTAAAGCAAGGAAACTGCCTCCCCATGGCCAGGGCTGAGAAGAGTAAATTTAGGGTCACAGAAAAATGAAAAGCAACTTTGGATCATGAGACCATAGAACAAGAGCTGGAAGGGATCCTTCAGGTCATTTAGTTCTGACACCTCATTTTACTGATGAGAAAATGGGCTCTGGTTAAGAGACTTGCCTAAGGTCATACCAGGTGACAGCTTATTGGATTTAAACTGAATTTAAAAGTAATAACTATAGAGTACGTATATAATAATATAGTACACTAAGGTTTACAAAGTGCTTTCATCTTATTTTATGCTCACAGCTATGGGGGAAGGTGCTGTTATTTCCATTTTACAGATGAGGAAACTGAGGCCCAGGGTCACTACAGCTAATAAGTGTCTGAGGCTAGATTTGAACTTAGATTTTCCAGATTCTAAGTCCTTTGTTCTATCCACTGTTCCACCATTCAACCCTTCTAGTCAAAAAAGTGTTTAAGAGTAGAGATCATAAAGAGATAGGGATTGGACTTGTAATTTCATTGACATAAAGACCTCCCTGAATAAGGAAACTCCCTCTCCCCATGCAGGTTGACACCTTTTCTGCAATTTAAAGTCAGAGAGTTGCCTAGATCAGTCACATGTCATGGGAACATAAATCTTTAATTTTTAGGCAATTGGGGTTAAGTGACTTGCCCAGGGTCACACAGCTAGTAAGTGTCAAGTTTTTGGTCTGAGGTTGGATTTGAACTCAGGTCCTACTTAGTTCAGGACTGGTGCTCTATCCACTGCACCACCTAGCTGCCCCCGAGCATAAATCTTTAAAAGTAAAATACTATCCAGAGGGATTGTGGAGTAGTGGAAAGGACAAGTGATTTTAAGTCAGGGCCTGGTATGGAATCTCACCCCTTTGTGTCCACTAAGTTCTTTCTAATATGCTAAGGGGTGTGTAGGATCATAGATTTATAACTGGAAGGAACCTGAGGGGCTATCCAAGCCCCTGAATGCAGAAAGGTAGGCACAAAAAGGTTGTGCCTCGGCTAGTGAGTGCCTGGGTGGCCTCTGGGTCCAGTCCTCCACTTCTTATACCAAACTGCCTTTCACTAGTTGCAAGGCCCTAGGCAAGTCTCTTAGGGCCTCGGTTTCTTTATCTGTAAAATGAGGGGGCTGAATTAGAGAAGCAGCAGCAGGTAGTGGATTGAGGACAGGATTTGGAGTCAGGAAGAGCTGTGTTCAAACACTGCCTCACATACAATCTCTCAGCAGTTTCTACTTCTGGAAAATGAGAGTGTGATAGCTACTCTATGGCTTCTAAGCTCCCTTCTAGCTCTAAATTTATGCCTATAAACCCATTTCTGTTTTGCATAATGGCTAATGGTATATTTTTAACGAGACTGGGACAGGAACAACAAACCTAGCCCTGGTACCTGGCAGAAATCAGCGCATCAGGATGTCAAGCATTTCCTGGATTAAACCTTTCTTCTAAACGGCTGGAGGGATAGAATGACTGGAGGCTGAGTTCATAAACCTATGCTTTCAGTGGGAGTGTTGGGGTGAGACTTCCAGACCTTCAGCAGCATAAAGGATTCTGAGGGCTAGCAAGTGAAATGCACTACCATAAATGACTTTTATTTTGTTTTTAATTCAGTTTTATTTTCATATTTGCATTTTCCCCACCCTCACCCCACTATTGAGAATGAAAGAAAAATAAAACTTGTCACAAACATGTATAGTCATCAGAATAAATTCCTGCATTCGCCATGTCCAAAAAACAAATTGTCGATCTGTCCATCACCTTTCTGTCCGCAGGCGGGTAGCATGTTTCATCATGAATCCTCAGGATTGGGGTTGGTTATTGTGTTGATCAGAATTCCCAAGTCCAAGTTGTTTGTCTCTGCAATATTGGTGTTATTATATAAATTATCATAAACCATTTAATGTTGAATGAAGTAAAATGATAAACCTTTAGATGAGCACAAGATTTACTTTTTGGTAGCTCTTCTTGTTCAAGGGTGAAGCATCTGAATGGACAGATGGATTAGGGTCTGGGTGGAAAAGAAGAAGGAAGGGTCATATGTTTATGCTGGAACAGACCTGAAAGAGTTCATCTGGTCTAATCCTTTCATTTTACAGATGAGTAAACTAACCCCTAGAGAGGTTACTTGACTTGTCCAAGGTCACAAAGTAAGGTAACAGCAGAGGGCTCTTGACCTGGGCCCTCTGACTCCAAATCCAGTGTTCTTTCTGATGTACTAAACTTTTTGGAAGAGAAGGGTCGAGGCAGAGAGAGGAACAGTGAAGAAGGAAAGAAATGTTAAGACTGATGGGATAAAGGGAGGCTTGATAGATTCCTAGATGAATCTGTTTGATTTAATCACTGTAGACCTCTAATTACCCTTCTCTTTAAACCTGTAGAACCTCCATTTTTGAATGAGATGGCTATAGCAGCTCACCTAAGAGGAAAATTATTTTCTGGACTGAAGTGATGGTGGCCAGTGTTCTAGGACTCTGGGGAGCACTTGGAGGTTTCCATATCAGTCTTTGAGGATTGTAGAGAATCCAGCTCTTTGAATTTAAGTTGGGCTGGTAGGTGGCAAATGATAGAGGAATAGTGGCAAGCATTCTTTTACCATATGCATTTATTAATAACAAATTGTTCTTTGAACAGGCTTGTTTCTGGTGCAGGAGACATTAAACTTACCAAAGATGGCAATGTTCTGCTCCATGAAATGGTGAGCTATCCATGATTGCTTTCCCCATAATATTTATAAGCAGACATTAATTAAGAAAAAGGGGAATGCTAATCTAGATTTTTTTTTAAATCCAAGATAGGCAGCTTAATACTGTAGGGTTAAGATAAATTAGGTTAAATTCCACTTGTCAGCAGCTTTTAAAATTTTATATGTATCCTGAAAAATGGCTGAGGAATACCTTTAAGTTAAAGCCATTTTAAAACACACTATATCTTATTCTATGTAATCAGGGAACAGTCAGTCACCCTTTGCAATTTTAGTAAATGTATTCATCTTTGAGATGGGAGAATTTAATCTTATCTTGGAAGTGTCATGTCAACATAATACATGCCAAAGCAATTGTTTTATTGTACATTATTCTGCAGTCTTGAACTTTGAGATGGTTGTACTGGCCAATTAACTTCTTTGTTTAGCTTGTTTCAGAATAGTTCTGTTCACCTAATAGAGACTAAATAGGAAGAGTTTTTAAATTTGTAAAATGAAGCTCAATTTCATCTTTGTGTTTGTTGGCTGAGTATAGTATTGATACTTTAATTAGCCTGCTTTATTGCTTTGCTTTCCCTTTTACTCATCACTTGAAATGTTAAAGAAATCCATTGTCTCCTTTGTAGCAAATTCAGCACCCAACAGCTTCTTTGATAGCAAAAGTAGCAACAGCCCAAGATGACATCACTGGTGATGGCACCACTTCAAATGTTCTGATTATTGGAGAGCTCCTGAAACAGGCAGATCTCTACATCTCAGAGGTATTTACATTTCATGAGATATTTTATTCTGAAAGGAAAATAATGTGTGTCGAGTCAAGTGAATTAAGTTTAAAGAATAACCTTATGTTAGTGGAATTATATGTTTTCTGAGGTTTGATTTACTCATTTTGGCAAAAGACTAGTTCATAAGTAAATTGTGTCTCCATGTATGTTTATTGACTCAACAGAACGTAAATTAAAGAAAATAATAGTGCAAAAAGTTGAGTGACCATTTATTGAGAGATTTTTGTAACTGATTTGCAATTTGGCTTTGGCCTCCTTCTGACCTTTTCTACCCATATTAGCCCTGTTGCACTTAAATACATCATATTTAGTGCCATTTCTATTCCTTTTGCTCATGTTCTTCCTCCCTCCCACAATGTCCTTAGCTTTTCTTTTCAACATTCACATCTTACTGGTGCCTCAAGACCTAGCTCAAGTCACATTTTCTGACTCTACACCATACTTTCAATAACCTTTTCTTCCTTGTAGCTTCTGTAGCGTTTGTTTTCTATACTGACATCTCCCCCATACTGCCTTGTGACATCTTTCATGCTGTGGTCTTGTATTGCTATTTAGCTTTAAATGCAGGTCTGTCTAGTTTTCCCAGCTAGATTGTAACGTTCTTTAAATCAGGAGCTGTCATCCAGCCTCACAGCTTTCCTTCTTGTTCAAAAGAATGTCACGAGAAACTTTGTCACATGCCTTGGTGAACTGTGGATATACTGTATTTATCTCCCTGATGCCCCCCGTTCTCTTTAGCCTGTCAAAGAAGGGAACGAAGTTAGTTTGATAGGATTTTTTCTTAGTGGAGCCTTGCTGACTTTTAGTGATCAGTACTGATCTAAGTGCTCACATGTCATTCAATAATAATTTGTTCCATAATTTAGTTGATTTAGTTACAGAGAGATTTTTACAATCTCTGGAATATGCCATTTTGAAAATGGAGACTACATTTGGTAATTTGTTTGGCCTCCAGTCTTCTTACATTTCTCTGTTCCTCCCAGTTCCTCAGAATTCACTGATAATTATTTAGTAATAACCTCCACAAGTTCATTTTAATAAAAGGATAAAAACTTTGGGTCAGGACACTTTAACTCATTTAGAGCAACTTGCTGTTCTTGTACTAGTTCCTTGGGCTTCAATTCCCTCTTAACTATTTTATTTTACCCTTTACAGGCTAAAGATAATTTTCTTTTATGGAGAGGATAGAATAGGAGCAGAGGAGGAGTTTGAGTAGTTACACTCTCTGTTTGCTAATATGACACCATCCTCCTCAAGCACAAGACCTAGCCTTGCCTTATTCTTCCTATCCTAAATACAGCCTAAAATGTTCTTTGTACTGGTGATGAAGAATGCTACCCACTTCCTCACAAAGATGTAATGGATTAAATATTCACAGTGACACGCACATTTTTGGACTTGGCCGGTATGGGAACTTCTTTTGCTTCACAATTTATATTTGTTACAAGTGTTTTGCTTTTGTTTTCTTTTTTTTGAGGTGGGATGGGGTGGGAAAGAAATAAAAGGGAAAGGAAATAAATACTTGTTAATTGGAAAAAAATTTAATTAAAAAAAGCCCTTTGTGCTGTCCTTAGCATTTTTTGCAAATTTTATTTCATTTTATTCTAAGTTTCATCCTTTCTAACATTCTTATAGATCCATGTTACTTTTTTTCCTCTTCTTCCTTGGTTATATGCTTTGGTGTCTATGTTTTGTAATGTTATTTTCTCTTGTGAATTAGGTGTCTTGACCACAGTTTTTTTTTTCTTACTATGCTATCCATGATCTCTATAATATACAGATTTACAGTTTTATCTGGGAATTCTTCCTCCTGAGTTTTTAGTTTGAAGTCTTCTTGATATATTGACAAGCTTTTTCATTCAAATACATTCTTCTCAGTCATCATGGGATGTATTCTGTCCTCAGTCAAGCATTCATTGTTTCTAGTAGATTTGGAAAATCAAATACCATTCTTTAACACAATCTACATAGCAAGTGTACACTTCTTATATGTTACTTTTTCTTCCAAAATCCCAACCTGCAAATGGAAGAAGAAATGAAAATTAACTAATGTCCTTTGGCTCTTCATTTTCCTGCCTAGAGGACTTCATCATTCCCAGATATATAGCTTCAAAGTTTCTTTTGGTGACATGATATGCCCTCACATGAGCCACTACAACTGAATGATAGTTAGCAGATTAGTTAAATATCACCAGACTTTCCTTCAGATTCTGGAAATGTATTCCAGGTTCTAGGGGTCTAGAGACTCCTGATACAAGTGTTGCTTTAGAAATGGAACTGCCTCACTTTGGGGGGAGATTCACAATAAAGCTGAACAAAAGGAACACATTACATCATAAGTGAGTTCCCAAATGTATATCTGTGCCCTGGTTCCCCAAATTAACTGCTTCCTTTAGCTCTAGACAGACAAAAAACAGTGGTAGCCTTTGCTTCTCATCTTCCACAGACAACACAGATAGAACCATTCCCCCTGAGAGCTTGATCAGCAATTGAGACTTTTGGGGAGATCTGTTCATATTCATATGGAGAAAAGAGAGCCAAGCTCTTCCCAAAACCTCTCCAGCTATCTTTAAATAGTACAATAAAACAATTCCTTCAGTGGTAGAACCCACAAGAGGACAGGGTGAAATAATTTTCCAGCCAAAGACAACTTGGAAGGTTTGCAGGAAAGGTCTGTTGCACCTGGATGAGAGTGGAACACAGTCTGACACAGGCTGAGCCAGCACAGATCAGGCCCCAGCAAATCAGGAGCAGGCCTTGGGAGTCACTGAATCAACAGTGGCAACAGCTGCTTCTGGAGCTCTCAGCCCACAGATAGTAAAGGGGCTGAACAACTGATCAGAAGGAGATCACAGGAGTCTCTTTGCTGGCAGTGGGGACAGGACTCTGTTGCTTTGCCCATACCCAGATCTGGTTCACAGTTGTGGGTGTGGGCAAGGAGGAGCACTAGCACAGAGCTCTTAGCTGCAGTGGAACAGGGCAGTTCACAGTTCCAGGGCAGGTAAGAATGCTTGTGTTAACTCACAGGCCAGAGCACAGACCAGGAGAGTAGTAAATACACCTCTCCTTAGATCATACCCCTTGGATGAACTGAGAACCTACAAGTCCTTAGAAGTATCTCTGAAAACAATTGCACAAAGTCTGTGAAGATTAAGACAGTATGTCCTCCATCCTGGAAGCAAAGTCCCTCTTTAATAAAGAGTTGAAAGTCAAGAAATAGACTGAAAAAACAAGCAAACAACAGAAAAAATTATGACCATAGAAAGTTACTATGGTGAAAAGGAAGATCAAAACACACATTCAGAAGAAGATAACTAAGTCAAAGCTCCAGCATCCAAAGCTTCCAAGGAAAGTATGAGTTGGTTTCAGGCCATGGAAGAGCTCAAAAAGGATTTTGAAAATCAAGTAAGAGAGGTAGAAGAAGAATTGGAAGAGAAATGAGAGTGATGCAAGTAAATAATGAAAAAAAGAGTCAACAGCTTGGTAAAGGAGACACAAAAAGGTACTGAAGAATATAACACCTTAAAAAAGAGAATAGGCCAAATGGTAAAAGAGGTACAAAAAGCCAGTGAGGAAAAGACTCCTTAAGGGAAGCACAAAACTGGGAAAGAATTTTTACGAGTGTCTCTGATAAGGGCCTCATTTTTAAAATATATAGAGAACTAAGTCCAATTTATAAGAATACAAGTCATTCCCCAATTGATAAATGGTCAAAGGATATGAATAGGCAGTTCTCAGACGAAGAAATTAAAGCCATCTATAGTCACATGAAAAAAATGCTCTAAATCACTACTGATTAGAGAAATGCAAGTCAAAACAACCTGAGGTACCACATCATACCTATCAGATTGGCCAACATGAGAAAACAGGAAAACGATAAATACTGGAGGAGATGTGGGAAAATTGGAATACTAATGCATTGTTGGTGGAATTGTGAACTGATCCAACCATTTTGGAGAGCAATTTGGAACTATGCCCAAAGGGCTATAAAAATGTACATACCCTTTGACCCAGCAATAGCACTTCTAGGGCTGTATCCCAGAGAGATCATACAGATGGGAAAAGGACCCACATGTACAAAAATGTTTATAGCAGCTCTTTTTGTGGTAGCAAAGAATTGGAAATTGAAGGAATGCCCATCAGTTGGAGAATGGCTGAACAAGTTATGGTATATGAATGTAATGGAATACTATTGTGCTATAAGGAAAGATGAGCAGGCAGACTTCAGAAAAACCTGGAAAAAGTTGTATGGACTGATGCTGAGTGAAGTGAGCTGAACCAGGAGAGCACTGTACACAGTAACAGGCACATTGTGTGATGACTGACTTTGGTAGACTTAGTCCTTCCCAGCAATGCAAGGATCTAAGACATCTCCAGAAGTCTCATGATGGAAAATGCTATCCACATCCAAAGGAAGAACTACGGGGTTTGAATGCAGATCAAAGCATACTATTTGCCCTTTTTTTTCCCTTCTGTTTTGTTTTGTTTTCTTTTTCTTGTGGTTCCTCCTATTGGTTCTAATTCTTCCTTACGACATGACTAATGTGAAAATATGTTTAATAGGAATGTAGATGGATAGCCTATATCAGGTTGTGTGCCATTTTGGGGAGGGAGGTGGGAAGGGAGGGGGAGAAACACTTAAAACTCAAAAGCTTATGGAAGTGATTGTTGATAACTCAAAATTAATTAATAAGAAAGAAAAAAAGAAAAGACTCCTTAAAAAGTAGAATTGGCCAAATGGAAAAGTAGTTACAAAAGCTAACTGGAGAAAGTAATTCCTTAAAAATTAGAATTGAGCAAATGGAAGCTAATGACTTTATGAGAAATCAAGAAACAATAAAAGAAAACCAAAAGAATGAAAAAGTAGAAGACAATGTGAAATATCCCATTGGAAAAGCAACTGACCTGGAAAATAGATCCAGGAGAGATAATTTTAAGATTATGGGATTATCTGAAAGTCATGATTAAAAAAAAAAGCCTAGATATCATCTTTCAAGAAATTGTCAAGGAAAACTGCCCTGGTATTCTAGGCGTGGGTGGGGAACCTACAGCCTTGAGGTCACATGTCATCCTCTAAGTCCTCAAGTGAAGCCCTTTGACTGATTCCAAACTTCACAGAACAAATCCCCGCAATAAAAGGATTTGTTTATTAAAACTTGGACTCAGTTAAAAGGCTGCACCCAAAAATCTAGAAGGCCACAGGTTCCCTACCTCCGTTCTAGAGGGTAAAATAGAAATTGAAAGAATACAATGATCATCTCCTGAAAGAGATCCCAAAATGAAAACTCCCAGGAATATTATAGCCAAATTCCAGATCTCCCAGGTCAAGGAGAGAATATTGCAACCAACCAGAAATAAACAATTCAAGTATTGTGGAGCCACAGGGTAATACAAGATTTAGCAGCTTCTACATTAAAGAATCAGAGGGCTTGGAATGTGATATTCTGGAGGGCAAAGGAGTCAGGATTACAACTAAGAATCACCTACCCAGCAAAATATAATCCTTCAGGGGAAAAATGGATATTCAATAAAATAGAGACTTTCAAGCATTTTTGATGAAAAGACTACTTTCCAATATAAGACTCAAGAGAAGCATAAAAAAAGTAAATAGAAAGGGAAATCATAAGGGACTTAATAAGATTAAACTGTTTACATTCCTGCATGAGAAGATGATACTTGTAACTCAAAAACTTTCTCATTATTAGCACAGCTAGGAGTATATATAGACAGAGGGCACAGGTGTGAGTTGAATATGAAGTGAAAAAGCTAAAAAAGTAAAATTAAGGAGTGAGAAAAAGGAATGCACGGGTAGAAAGGGAAAGGGAGGGGTAGAGTGGGGCAAATTATCTCACCTAAAAGGCAAGAAAAAGCTTTTACATGGAGGGGAAGATGGGGAAGTGTGTGTGTATGTGTGTGTGTGTGAAAGTGAGCGAACCTTACTCTCATCAGTATTTGCTCGAAGAGAGAATAGCATACACACTCAGTTGGGTATAGAAATCTATCTTACCCTATAGGAAAATAGGAGGGGAAGGGGATAAGAGAAGGGGTCAGTGATAGAAGGGGCAGCAGTAGTCAGAAGCAAAACACTTTTGAGAGGGGACAGGGTGAAAGGAGAGAGAGAATAGGACAAATGGGGTGTGGGAAGGAATAGGATGGAGGGAAATACATTTAGCAATCATTACTGAGAAAAAAAATTTTGAAGCAATTTTCTATGACAAAGTCCTCATTTCTCAAATACATAGAGAACTAAGTCAAATTTATAAAAATAGGAGCCATTCCCCAATTGATAAATGATCAAGAGATATGAACAGTTTTCAGATGAAGTAATCAAAGCCATGTGAGAAGGTGCTCTAAATTGCTACTGATAGGAGGAATGCAAATTAAAACAATTTTGAGGTACTACCTCATATTTATTAGATTGGTTAATAGGGCAGAAAAGGAGAATGATAAATGTTGGAGGGGATAGAGGAAAAATGAGACATTAATGCATGGTTGGTGGAGTTGTGAACTGATTCAACCATTTTTTGGGTAATTTTTAATTTTTTTAGTGAATTTATTTATTTTTAATTTTCAGCATTTACTTTCATAAGATTTTGAGTTCCAAATTTTCTCCCCACCTCTTCCCTCCCCTCACCCCAAGACGGCATGTAAATTGATGTAAGCTCAACAAATACATTCATATTAAACCTATTTCACATTAGTCATGTTGCAAAGAATTAGAACCAATGGGAGAAACCATGAGAAAGAAGAAACAAATAAAAAAAAGAGAAGGAAACAAATAATATGCTTCGATCTGCATTCAGACTCCATAGTTCTTTTTCTGAATGTGGACAGCATTTTGCATCATGAGTCTTTTGGAGTTGTCTTAGATCCTTTCATTGCTGAGAAGAGATGAGTCTATCAAAATTAGTCATCACACAATATAGCTGTTACTGTGTGCAACGTTCTCCTGGTTCTGCTCACTTCACTCAGCATCAGACCATACAAGTCTTTCCAGGTTTTTCTGAAGTCCGCCAGCTCATCATTTCTTATAGCACAATAGTATTCCATCACAATCACTTAGCACAATTTGTTCAGTCATTCCTCAGTTGATGGGCATCCTCCCAATTTCCAACTCCCTACCACCAGAAAAGAGCTGCTATAAATATTTCTGTACATGTAGGTCCTCTTCCCTTCTATTTTTTAATCTCTTTTTGGATACAGACCTAGTAGTAGCACTGCTAGGTCAAAGGGTACCCACAGTTGTATAGCCCTTTGGGCATAGTTCCAAATTGCTCTCTAAAATGGTTGGATCAGTTCACAATTCCACCAACAATGTATTAGCGTCCCAACATTTCTACATCTTCTCCAGAATTTATCATTTTCCTGTTTTGTCATGTTGGCCAATCTGATAGGTGTGATGTGGTACCTCAGAGTTGCCTTGATTTTCATTTCTCTAATCAGTAGTGACTTAGAGCATTTTTTCACATGACAATAGATAGCTTTAATTTCTTTGTCTAAAAACTGCCTGTTCATATCCTTTAGCCATTTATCAATTGGGGAATGATTTGTATTGTTATAGACTTGACTCAGTTCTCTATATATTTTAGAAATAAGACCTTTATCAGAGACAGATTCAATCATTCTTTAGAGCAATTTGGAACTATGCCCAAAGGGCTATAAAGTCATGCTTACCCTTTGACCTAGCAGTGCTACTACTAGGTCTGTATCCAAAAAGAGATTAAAAAATAGAAGGGAAGAGGACCTACATGTACAGAAATATTTATAGCAGCTCTTTTCTGGTGGTAGGGAGTTGGAAATTGGGAGGATGCCCATCAACTGAGGAATGACTGAACAAATTGTGCTAAGTGATTGTGATGGAATATTACTGTGGTATAAGAAATGATGAGCAGGATGCTCTCAGAAAAACCTGAAAAGACTTATATGAGCTGATGTGAAGTAAAATGTACTCTGTATAAAGTAACAGCAGTATTGTAAGATGATCAACTGTGAATGACTTAGCTATTCTCATCAATACAGTGGTCCAAGACAACTCTGAAGGACTTATGATGAAAAATGCTCTCCATCCTCAGACAAAGAATTGATGGTGTCTAAATTCTTTATTTTTCTTGAGCTTTTTATTATCTGTGTTTTCTTTCACAATATGACTAATATGGAAATGTGTTTTGCATGACTATATGTGTATAATCTATATTGGATTGCTTGCCTTGTCAATGAGAGGCGTGGGGAGGGAAGAAGGGAGAGAATTTGGAACTCAAAGTTTTAAAAAAGATGTCAAAATTGTTTTTACATATAATTGGGGAAAAATAAAATACTAAATACATTTTTAAAAAAGAGAAGAAAAGAGGGCCCACAAAGCCCAGATAGTATGACTTTCCACACATGAGAGAGAGAGCTGGCTTATTCCTCTTCATCTCATGATCCAGGCTTTTTCAAAACCATATTCTTGTGAAGCATAATAGTGGTAGCTCACTGTCACCCGCATGCCACTACAACTGATTCCTTGGTTAAGTATACTTCAGGCCACTTTGATCCTTAGAGTGGAATTGTTAAAAGTTATTTCCTATGCTAATCAGCTTTGAATACCAGTGCTTTCCATGGTACTCAGTATACCCTGGTTATGAGGCTCCTGATAGTGTCTTTTCTCTTAGATGTATTCTTTCCTTCTGTTCCCCAAACCAGCTCCCTGAGTTGGTCTTTCCAGGCCCCTTTGGTGGAAATATCACCAGGCTGAGATCACAAATATCCTTAATTCCCACATAAATTCTTCTGATTCATATCCTTCAAATATACAAGGTAGTACCACACTATTGGCAATAGTGTGGCAATCTACAATCTGTCTTGTATTCCTTCGTTCCTACTTGAGGGACAAATCATTCTTGTTATGTATTTTCATGGGAGTTCCCCTGGGATATATTGAATTCTGGTATGAAACATGAAAGAGTGAATCTTCATCGCCTGAGAAGGTGTACCTTGTGTCATCAGGCTCACCTTCTTTATCCATGAATGAGCCTGAGTAATAGATGTCTAAGGTCTGAATGTGTATTGTGGGAGATGTGTTGGTGTTCAGGGAGATTTCTTAGTTTGAAAAAAGGGCACTTTCCAGTCCTTTGTCTTCCTGGCAGGTTCTGGGTTCTCACACCTTGCGCTCGCTGCACAGCTTGTACCTCAGTGGTAGAGGCCTTTCTCAGCTGGATGGAGTCAGCAGTTGTCTGGTCTTACACGTTCCTGAATCAGAGGCACGGGCGGATACTGTGGAGAAGAGCAAGCTCCCTGAAGTGGCGTGGGGCACATTCTCAACAGATTCCACTGTGGAGAGAGCTTGGGTCTGTTGCATATGGAAAGTATAAAGGTTTAATGTCCTCATTGACCCATTATACCTGCATAGCCTTGGTGATAGGGCTCTGTACAGAGTCATTGTATACTTAGCTTCTTCTGAGACTGCCTCCAGAATTTGACATTAAATCACTTATTTAAGGTCACACTGGTAGCAGAGTAGAGACTTAAGCCCAGCTTTTTTTTGGGGGGGGCGGTTAGGCAGTGGGGTAAAGTGACTTGCCCAGGGTCACACAATTAGTAAGTGTTATATGTCTGAGGCTGGATTTGAACTCAGGTCCTCCTGAATCCAGGGCCAGTGCTCTACCTAGCTGCGCCATTCAAGCCCAGCTTCTATAACCCTAAATATAGTGCCCTTTGCAACGCCTTATGCTTATCTGCTAGCCATGAAGCCATCATGATTGCTCAGAGCCTGAGCTGGCATGGCCTGTTATGTGGGCAGGTAGTATGTCCTCAGAACTGTGATAAATCCACTACTACTTGGGAACAGGGTTGGGTAGATATGGAAAATGGCTGTAAGAGCTTCCTTTGCTGCCTCCTCCAGGACTTCCTTGTGCTTTGGCATCTCTTACATCCCCTGATGTACCAATATACATTCTGGCCTATGCTGGGCCACTACAGATGACATAATTTCTCTGGTGCAAATCTGGGCATCAGATGGGATGCCTACTTGTCTTCCTCTCGATAGGACTGTGACTACTGCCATAAATCCTTTGTGATAGCTCAGTCATACTTTTTCTGATCCTCCTGGTCCAGATATATAACTCCATTCCCAGCTTCTGCAATGGTCTCTCACCCTCTGCTAGCATAATCTTGGCTCCTGATAGGTATAAGAGAAGGAAAACAACACCCAGTGCTCATGCCAGCAGGACAAAACATAGGCCTTTTAGCAATATAATAGACTTTTTCTGGTTGGTTATTGTTCTAATAGTGTGTCTGTGCTAGGCCCCTTCAAGATAATGTCAGACCTCCAAGGTACTTAAAAAAAGATTTATTTAGGACTTTTTTGTACCAAATTCATCTCATAATATGCCTCCTGATACAAGATATTAGTTACATAAATTACCCTCTTGCAACTAAGAAAAACAGGCAAACCCAATCGGCACCGATCTTGTGACACGTGCCACTTTAGTCTCCTGCTGAGTACGAGGGAGGTTTGCCTCGCCATGCGTCCACTGGAACCACCATCAGTCACCTCATCTGATGAGTTCAGCTGCTTTTTGTTGTTTCCATTTATGTTGCTGAGTCCTTGTGCGTATTGTTGCTCTGGCTCTGCTTTGATCTGCATCAGTTCATGCCAGGCTTCCTGTATTTCTCAGAATTCCTCATATTCATTGTTCCTTAAGGCACGATAATAATTCCATTAACTCATGTACCATGATTTGCTTAGCTGTTATCCACTTGATAGACCTACGCTTTGTTTCTAGTTTGTCGTTCCTAAAAAAAGAGTGCCACTATGAATATCTTGGCGTATACTAAACTTTTTGTTTTTGCCTTCGATCTCCTTGGAGTACATGGTAAGGTACTGAATAAGTAAATTACTTGAGGAGGAATTGTCATTTTTATTATATTGGCAATGGTCTACCTTTGAGCAGTTAACATTTTAAAAATTATTTAGGTCTGTCTTCATTGCTGTGTAGAGTGATTTGTAGTTTCTTTCCTATAGTTCCCATGTGTCTGGTATATAGACTCCTATGTATTTTGTCATTAATCATAATAATAGCTAGTATTTATATAGCACTTTAGGATTTGCAAAATGCTTTACAATTATTGTCTCATTTGATCCTCACAACAACCCTGGGAGATAGGCGCTATTATCCCCATTTTTCAGATGAGGAAAACTGAGGCAGACATAGGCTAAATGACTTGCCCTATTAGATAAATAGTAAACATCTGAGGTTGGATTTGAGCTCTGGTCTTCCTGGCTCCAGGTCTAACACTCTATCCCCTGGACCACCTAACTTCCCCTTTTAGTACATTCTGTAGCTATTTGAAATGGAATTTCTATTTTTTTTTTTTTTGCTTTAAGCTGAGTTTTGTTGGCAGTATACAGAAACACCAATGAATTATGTGGATTTATTTTGTATCCTGCAACTTTGCTGAATTTATTAACTGTTTAAATTACTTTTTAGTTGACTTTTTAGGGCTCTCTAGATGAACCATCATATTATCTGCAAAAAATGATAGTTTTTTTTTTCTCTTTGTCTGTGTTTGCAGCTATAAACTTTCCAGCCTTGAAGGCTACTTACTAGACCTGCTACTATTTACCTCACCTCACCACTGCCTTTTATCTGTAATCTCAAGTTAATTTGTCTGTGTTTTAGCATGAAGAATTAGTACTGCTCTGTCAATCACTAGACAGAAACACAAGACTACAATCAGCAGACACAGAAACTACTTGCTAAAATACTCTAAAATCAATACTCTCTTTGCTTGCTAGACCTATTAGCTGCTGCCCACTCCTATTATACTTTTGATATACTCCATAGTATGCTAGTACCATGCTCTATGGATATAGGTGGATCATTAAATATTTGTTGAATTAAGGAATGAGTATAGCAGATATTGGAAAATGTATTCAACATTAAAAGCGACACCTCCCTTGGTATTCCATTCAGTGTGAAGAAAGATGGTACGGCTCCCCTCAGTCTGTTTGAAATTTGGATCTTGGTAGCATGCTGTGAACCTGTGACAACAATAAGGGAAAAAAAAACCTTCTCCAAAACAAGGGAACTTCAGAAATTTGACCATATTTTAAAAATAATTATTTGCACCTGTGTGTAGTTTAGAATTCACACAGCCTCAAGGCAATTTGGAGACAAACGAACCCCAGGGTGTGCTTAAAACACAGGGAAGAAGACCAATCTAGGTCTTTTGCTAAACTTTCTTTTCAGCAGACCCCAGGAAAACAGACCGCCTCTAAAGAAAGCAACACTGACATCTGTGTGAATGTATCTCATGAGTAGGGTGGTATCAACCAAAAATGTAGTTATGGAAAAACAAATGAGATGTACATAAATGCCCTGGAAGTAATGCTCTTCTAGTACTCTTTGGGAAAAAAAAGACAACTCTTTAGAGGAAGAAATAAGTAGCTCTTGCCAAAATTTGCTATAACAGTTTTATTTTTATCTAAAATTTGGGACCATTAACCTTCTGGTAGGCTGCTTTTCTCCATACTTGCAGTGGGGGAAAGATACCAGTTTCTAGATGTGGAAAGTGAGGAATGTCATATTCATTTAAAGACTTAAAATTCTCCTTTAGAATAACATCCCATCATATAGCAGTTTCAGATATTACCCCTAAAAGACACTCATACAGAATTTTTGCAGCCACAGGTGAACATTAAAGGAGAATCCAGAGGAAGAGTTCTTAAAGGTGGATCTTGATGGATGGACAAGGAAAAATAGTAGCAGACAAATCATATGGAAAGCTTGGGCAAGAGTTCCCCTCTGCTGCATAGATAGTACTGATGTTGCTAAGTTCCCCTAACATTGGGGAAACACTATTTTGATCTCAGTATAGGCTGCTTTTAACTATAGATTTCCCTCATGACACCATTTAGTAAGGTATATAATGAAAAATAATTACTGTGTTTGTTTATGTGAAATTACCATATAAAAGCTATATTTGCTGTAAAATGTTTTTTTCTTTTAATTTAAATAAAATGTTTTATTCGTCATTACTCCTCCCCTAGTCTTTATCACTTTTGTTTTCTTATTAAGAACTGTGATTTATAGGCTGCATTCAGTGTTTGTTTAAGTCAAATTTCAAAAAAAACACAACAGTGACCTATATCTGTACCAATATGGCATTCTTTCAGATGATGCTAATTGCAGAATTTTTGCTACTGGACAAAATCCTGGTAATATTGCTTCATCGATACCTAAGTGTTTCCTTTGGTTTAAACTCTTTGTTAAGGCAGTATTTGTACTTTCCCTTTGCATTAAAAGGAGTCTCTTTTTCTTTCTGTATAAAATGTAAGTTAATATTTTCATATTTAAAGGGGAAGTACATAGCAAACATTAGTACTGTTGGTTTTAGAGTAATAATGAATTACGCATTTTATTTAGAGATAGCCTGCTGTACTGAATAGAGGGCTATCTTGGTTCTAGTTTTGCCCCTGACATGTATTAGCTGTGTGTCCTTGGGGTAGTCACTTACCCTTTCAGCACCCCAAGTAATTTTTTAAGGCAACAAGTGACAGAAAAGTTGTTGACCTACACCAGTGTTGGGAATTTTTGTACCAGAAATTCCCCATACCAATGAAAACTCAGATCTGGATAAAAAAAAAAACCCTTAATTACTCATTATGCATGGTTATTGCTGATGATAAAGAGCATATAGATATACTGTACATTAAAACATTGTATAATCTCTGACATAAGAAAATGGTTGCATTCATTTGGATAGCTTTAATAATGGTGATTTTATGACAATGTCATTATAATAGGGTCTGCATCCGAGAATAATAACTGAGGGCTTTGAAGCAGCAAAGGTAAAAGCACTTGAAGTTCTGGAGGAGATTAAAATAGAGAAAGAGATGACCCGAGAAATCCTTCTAGATGTGGCTAGAACATCTCTCCGTACTAAAGTTCATGCTGAGCTGGCCGATGTATTAACAGAGGTATGTGTTAAACTCTTTGCTTGTAACATTAGCATTTTCTCAAGCCACTTTTCAAATTATCACAGAAAGTTTATTATAAACTTAATTACTATTGACAAGGACAAACCACCAAGTAAATATACAAAAGAATGTCTGGAATCTGATATAAAACTTATTCAGGAATGTTTGTTGTTATTACTATTAATTGTTCAGTCATGTACGACTCTTCATGACCCTGTGGACCATAGCATACCAGGCCTTTCTATCCTCCACTGTCTCCCAAAGTCTGTCCAAGCTCATATTCCTTGCCTCTATGATACTAGCTGTTCATCTCATCCTCTGCAATCCCCTTCTCCTTTTCCCTTCAATCTTTTCCAACATTAGGGTCTTTTCCAATGAATCCTGTCATGTCATTAAGTAGCCAAAGTATTTAAGCTTCAGCTTTAGTATTTGACCTTCCAGTGCATAGCCTGAATTCATTTCTTTAAGTATTGTTTGATCTGATCTTCTTGCTATCTGAGGGACTCTCAAAAGTCTTCTCCAGCACCACAGCTTGAAAGTATCGATTCTGTGGTGCTCAGCTTTCCTTATAGTCCAGCTCTCACAGCCATATATTGCTACTGGAAAAACTATAACTTTGACTATGTGGACCTTTATTGGCAAGGTGATATTTGGGCTTTTTAGTATGCTGTCCAGCTTTGTCATAGCTTTCCTTCCAAGGAGCAGGCATCTTTTAATTTCATGGCTGCAGTCACTGTCTGTAATGATCTCTGAGCCCAAGAATGTAAACTCTGACACTGTTTTCATTTCTTCTCTCTCTACTTGCCAGGAAGTAATGGCACTAGTTCTAATTTCTTTTTAATGTTAAGCTTCAAGCCAGCTTTTACACTCTTCTCTTTCACCCTCATCAGGAGGCTTCTTAATTCTTCTTTACCTTCTGCCATCAGAATACTATCATCTGCATATCTGAGATTGTTGATATTTCTCCCAGCAACCTTAATTCCATCTTTTGATCTATCCAGCCTAGCATTTTGTATGATGTACTCTATATATAAGTTAAATAAATAAGGTGACAATATATGGCCTTGTTGTACTCTTTTCCTAATCTTAAACCAATCAGTTGTTCCATGATTGGTTCTGTTGCTTCTTGACCCACATATGATACTCTCATGTCTTTGAGGACTTGCCACATTTTGTTGTGATCCACACAGTCAAAGGCTTTTTAGTGTAGTCAGTGAAGCACAAGTAGATGTTTTTCTGGAATTCCCTTGGTTTCTCCACATTCCAGCAAATGTTGGCAATTTGGTCTCTAGTTCCTCTGTCTTTTTGAAAACTGGCCTGCTTTTCTGGTAATTCTCAGTTCATATATTGTTGAAGCCTAGTGTGCAGAATCTTAAGCATGTGAAAGGAGCTCAAGTGTTTGGTAATTTGAACATTCTTTGGCATTGGGATGTAAACTGATCTTTTCCAACCTAGTGGCCACTGTGAAGTTTTCCAATTTTACTGTAATATTGACTACAGCACTTTAGCAGCATAATATTTTAGGATTTTAAGTATCTCAGCTGGAATTTGTCACCTCCACTAGCCTTATTGCTAGCAATGCTTCCTAAGGCCCACTTGACTTAATTTTTCAGGATGTCTGGCTCTAGATCAGCAACCATACCATCATGGTTATCAGTGATGTTAAGATTTTTCCTTTGTAGTTCTTCTGTGTATTCTGGCCACCTCTTCTTAATCCTAATTCTCTTGAGTCCCTACCATTTTTATCTTTATCATGTCCATTTTTGCATGAAATCTCTAACTTTTTGAAGAGCTCTCTTGTATTTCCAATTTCCGATTTTTAATTCTGTTGTTTTTTTCTATTTCTTTGTATGGCTCACTTAAGAAAATCTTATCTTTCTTTGCTGTTCTCTGAAATTGTGCATTCAGTTGGGTATGTCTTTCCCTTTCTTCTTTCCCTTTCCCTTTTCTTCTTTCTTCAGCTGTATGTAAAGCCTCATCAGACAAGCCATTTTGCTTTCTTGCTCTTCTTTTTCTTTGGAATGTTTTTTTGTTGCTGTCTCCTGTCCCATATTACCAACCTCTTCCATAATTCTTCAGGTACTTTATCTACCAGATCTAATCCCTTAAATCTATTTATCACTTCCACTTCATATTTATAAGGGATGTTATTTAGGTCGTACTTATATGATTTGATGATTCCCCTACTTTCTTCAATTTAAGTCTGAATTTTGCAATAGAAGCTCACGAGCTAAGCCACAGTCAGCTACAGGTCTTTTTAAACTGACTGTACAGAGCTTCTCCACTTTTGGCTGCAAAGTACATAATGAATCTGATTTCAGTATTGACCATCTGATTATATCCATGTGTAGAGTCATCTTTTGGGTTGTTGAAAAAAGTTGTTTGCTATGACCAATGAATTATCTTGATAAGACTCTATTAGTCTCTGCCCTGCTTCATTTGTACTCCAAGGCCAAACTTACCTTTTATTTCAATTATCTTTTGATTTCCTACTTTAGCATTCCAATCTCCTATGATGAATGTGACATCTTTTTTTGATGCTGTTTTTAGAAGATGTTGTAGGTCTTCATAGAAGTGATCAACTTTGGTCTCTTTGGCATTAGGAGTTGGAACATAGACTTGTATTACTGTGTTGTTGAATGGTTTGCCTTGGATTCAGGTAGATATCATTCTGCATTTTTGAGGTTATACCCCAGTACTGCTTTTATTGACTATGAGGGCTACTCCATTAATTCTAAGTGATTCTTTCCCACAGTAGTATATATGGTGATCATTCACCTGTTCCCATCTATTTAAGTTCACTGATACCCAAGGGGTTGATAATGTTTGCTCTTACCATGTCTTGTTTGACCATATCCAGCTTATCTTGGTTCACAGATCATACATTACAGGTTCCTATACAATATTGAGCTTTCTAGCATTGGACTTTCCTTTCATTACCAGACACATCTGTAGCTGAGCCTCCTTTCAGTTTTGGCCCAGCTGCTCCATTAATTCTGAGCTACTTGTAGTTGTGCTCTGCTCTTCCACAGTATCATGCTAGACACCTTCCAACCTGAGGGGCTTATCTTCTGATGTCAAAGGTTTTATAATTTTAATACTGGGGTTTTCTTGGCAAAGATATTAGGATGGCTTGCCATTTCCTTCCCCAGTGGGTTGCCTTTTGTCAGAACTCTCCATTATGACCTGTCCACGTTGGGTAATCCTGCACAGCATAGCCCATGGTTTCACTGAGCTACACAAGCCTCTCCACCATGACAAGGCAGGGATCCATGAGGGGATTTAAGAAGGTAGAATCAACCATTGACAAAACAAGTAAATGCATTTTTTCCTGTATCCTTTTCCAAGTCCTTCTGAGGTTCTGCTGTCTTTGGTTTTGAATTTGTTTTATTTGTGGATAAGTACGTATATAGTTCTCATTCTCCTCATAATAGGCAGCAGCAGCTGGGAGGACCAGGAAAGGGTTGACATAGAAGGTAAGCTTGATCAGAGTTTTGAAGGAAACAAGGGATTTTAAGAGGAGGAGGTGAGGAAGGAGTGCATCCCAGTTGTGGTGACAGCTAGTGCAAAGGCTCCGAGTTGAAAGATTGAGGGTCATAGATGAGGAGCAACAAGAAGGCCAGTTTGGTTGGATCTGTAGAGTGAATGAATAGGAGGAATGCATAATAATAGGTGCCAAACAGAGGAATTTACATTTGATTCTAGGGCCAGTCAGGAGGAGCCACTGGAATTTATTGAGTAGAGGAATTGGCATCATCAGACTTATGCTTTTGGAAAATTGTGGAGGATGGGTTGGGGAGGTTAGAGCCCTGAGGCTGGGAGACAATTAGAGGGCTGTTGCAATAGCTCAGGAGGATGAGAACTTGAAATGGGATGGTGGCTGTTGATGTAGAGACAAGGAGACAGATATGAGAGATATTTTGAAAGCAGAAACCACAAGATTTGGCAACTCATTGGATTGTGAGGTGAGTGAGAGTGAGGAGTTAGGGATGATACCAAGATTGCAAACCTATGTAATTGGAAGGATGGAGGTACCCTTGGCAGAAATAGAGCTGTTGGGAAGAAGAGTAGGGTTGGGGGAGATGGATGGGAAAGTTAATGAGTTCTATTTTGAATATACTGAGTTTGAGATGAGAATCTGGGTTTGAATCCTGGATCCATCATTATTACCTGTGTGATCCTGGACAAATTGTTTAACCTTTCTAGGCCACACTTTTCTTATCTGCAAAATGGAACAGTTGTACTTTATGATCTCTAAAATCTTTTTCAGTTCTAAGTCTTATGATCCCGGGATGTTACAAATTAAGGTTAGGTTTCTTGGTGAGTATAGGGTCAGAACAAAAGGAGTTGTGTGATCTTAAGGTCATAGCATTATCAAACTATGGTAGCCTAGTGGTTTGCTTTCCTCTGTGGTATTACATTTGCCAAGTGAACTGGAATATACATTGTAGACTGCTTCAGCAACTCAGATTAGTGTTAAAGAAGGCCTGAAAAAGTCTTTCTACCCAACTATCCTTTTAAAATATTCTTTGTCAGTTATTAAAAATATTTCTTAAGTGATCTCATATTATTTGTTCGGTTATAAATTATTTTATGTCAGTTACATTTTAGAGTGTCAGCCTGATCCTATCAGTAAGCTATCTTCAAATCAAATTTTTGGATTATTTCTGGGAGAGTTAGTGCACTCTAATGAAATGAACACTGGACTAGGAGTCAGATGTCCTGGATCTTAGTCCTAGATCAGCTCTTAACTTGATGTATGACCTTGGATAATTCACTTAAACATCTTGTGGTCTCAGTTTCTGACCTCTAACTGAAGACGCCCCTTCCAGCTCTAAAAGAGTTTATGATTCTGTATCTCTATGGCTGGTCAGGTCCTCTCCATTGTTTGTAAGGTCTTCTTAGCAGCAGTTAGAGCAATGCTAATTGTTGAGTTTGTATTTGTATTTTGGGCTACAAATTAATTTTTAGGCATGTAACCCTCTGTCTATTTACTACAGAGTATAATAGAGCCTAAACATAGGTATATGTAGCATTCAGCATTTTTATTTTTGCATCTAATCTTGTGTAACTTGGAGGGGAAGTGAGGGAATAATTGGGGCAATGGGTTTTGATTTAAGAGTCCAAATTGTTTCATGGTTGTGTTTGTTTCTGTTATTACAGGCTGTGGTAGATTCTCTTTTGGCCATTAGAAGACCAGGTTTTCCTATTGACCTTTTCATGGTAGAGATAATGGAGATGAAGCATAAGTCAGAAACTGACACAACGTAAGTCATATAAAATGTTGATAAAATATGGCCAATATTAGATTTAGACAAATACCTTCAACTTGACTTCAGTTAATTTTATATTTTACACTGAATGTTAGAAACATTTTTTGCTAGTCCCCTGAAAACCAAGCTGTTTTCACATATAGATAGGAGTTAGAACACTGATAATTTAGAAATTTTCCAATTATTTTGAGCAGATATTAAGAAAAAAAATCAAATGCTTAACTTTATTTTGTCAGATTGAGCCATATAACTTAAAAAATAACTCTGTGTTGATATTCTAGTAGTTAATGTAGTCTCATTCAACTTGGGTCCTACTTGAATGCCTTATTGTGGTGTGGAATTGACCATGAGTTCATGAAGACTATGCCAACACTTTGAGAGTTACACTGGCAGGCCTTTACAGACTGAAAAGATCTTGAGTATGGGCTTGGTGATAGACTGTCTGTCACTTGAGAAGCAGTCTTTTTAAGACTAGAGCAGTTCGTCATGGGGTTGGTCCCATGGCAATGTTTTTTTTGGTTCCAGCAACTCTCAAAGATGTACTAATTCATTGAAGGGTTGCAATCTGAATCAGTGGAGGGAGCAAGACAGATTTTGAAGTGAAGTAATGTCATTGCGCTGTGTTAAATAAAATTCTCTTTAGAATGTTTGTGTTCGATTTGAAGTTGGGGTGACTATTTAGAGGGTGTAGCAATTATGTTATGGATATTACTAATGAAAAGAACACTGGACTTAGGGCTGAAGGAGTGAAGTTCCAGGCCTGGCACTTATCATTTCCTAGCCACGTCTCCATGAAGCCAGATTGAAAATTTGTCTCTGCAGTTTATGATATGTGTGATCTTGAGCAAATCACTTAGCCTTTCTAGGCCTTAATACCTTCATCTTTAAAATGAGGGGTCAGACTAGGTCATCTTTGTGATCATTTCCAGGACTAGATCCTACTATCTGATCCTTAGTTTCTTCACGTGACAAATGGAAATAATAATATGCACGCTAGCCTTCCTTAGGAGCTTGCTGTAAGAATCAAATGGCATGTAAAAGCATGTCAAATCTTTGGTTTCTCTGAATTGTTACATAAATGTGAGGTATCATCATCATCATCATTATCATCATCAGATTGTATTTAGTATGTTATATCCTAGAGTATTAAAGAAAGAAACTGAATTATTTTACCAGGTTGATCAGAGGGCTAGTTTTAGACCACGGTGCTCGTCATCCAGATATGAAGAAAAGAGTTGAAGATGCTTTTATTCTCACTTGCAATGTATCACTAGAATATGAAAAAACGTAAGGAATTGTTTTCTCTTTATAACATAATGAAAACTTTGGCTTTTCGTTCTTCCTGAAAGTCTTTTTTCCTTTCCATTTCTCTTGCATTTGCTTGTTTGCTGCTGTGTATATGTTTACAATTCTTTTTGTTCTTTCAGAGAGGTGAATTCTGGTTTCTTCTACAAGACTGCAGAGGAGAGAGAGAAATTAGTAAAGGCTGAAAGACAATTTGTTGAAGATAGAGTAAACAAAATAATAAAACTGAAAAGAAAAGTCTGTGATGATGGAAATAAAGGATTTATTGTTCTTAATCAGAAGGTGAGAATGAAATTTTCAACATGTAAGTATATTTAAATGCTTGTAACATTCAACTTGGCAATGGAGAATGCTTAAATCCTACTTGTAATTTCTCTATTTGATTGCAGGGCATTGATCCATTTTCCTTAGATGTCCTTGCAAAAGAAGGTATTGTGGCTCTTCGCAGAGCTAAAAGAAGGAATATGGAGCGGTAGGCTTGGCATATAGATAAAATAATCATACATTCTAAATAATTTAGTGCTGGGAGCTGGAATTATTTTACACTTTTGGGTACTCATTTTAGCTTATTCAGCAACATTTATCATTTCTACAAAAATGTAATTGTCCGAAAGTTTCCTAATTCAGATAGAAATGAATTATTATATTGTTATAATTACAGAGGTCTGTAATAGGGTTCTGAATAGTGATAAATGAATGAGCTATCAAAAAAGGGTTCTTCAACCCCTATAAAAACTTTTTTGAAATGTATCAGAATTTGGCAATTTCCTCAAAACTGATTTTTTAAAATTAATTTTTTTAATCATCAAAAATCTGCCTTTTCTACTGTCTCCCCCACCCCAACAATTTAGAAAGAGAAGTAAACTTTTGTTTACAAACATATAATTAAGTAAAACAAATTTCTGCATGGGCCATGTCCAAAAAAAAATCTCATTCTGTACTCTAAGTCCTTAACTTTCTATGAGGAGATGGGTAGCATGTTTTATAATGAGTTTTCTGGAGTTGTGGTTGGTCATTAAGCTAATCAGAGTTCCTAAGTCTTTCAAAGTTGTTCGTTTTACAAAATTGTTGTCATTGTATAAATTGTTCTCCTGGTTCTACTTACTTCAGTCAACACCAGTTCAGACAAGATTTCCCAGGTTTCTTTGAAACCATCACATTTGTCACGACACAATAGTATTCCATCACATTTATATGCCACAACTTGTTTTGTCATTCCTCAGTTTTCTTGATACTCTTTTAGTTACCAATTCTTTGCCATTGAAAAAAGAACTGCTATAATTATTTTTGTGCATCTTTTTTTAAAGAGTGTATTTTGCTTAGAACTAATCCCTCTCTTAAACTACTCACTCTATTATTTCCTCCTCTCTCCTATTTCCTGTTGAATGAAGTGTATTTCTGTACCCAACTGGGAGTGTGTATTCTTCTCTCTTTTAATCAGTTCAGAGGAGACTGAGTTCAAATGTCACCCACTCACTCTCTCCTTTTTTGTATAGATGTCTACTTGTCACCCTCATTATGTGAGATAATTTTCCCCAACCTTCCTCTCCTTTTCTCCCTGTGGTGTGTTAACTCTCCCTCCCATTCCATTCTTCTTTTAAGATCAAGACATAACAGAACCACTTCCAACCTTTCTATTTAATTAGACTCCCTCTATGACTCCACTTGGTGATAGGATTCAGAAGAGACAGAGGTCTCATCTCCTTGTATTAGAATGTAAAAAGTTTACCTTTGTTTAGTCTCTTATGATCATTTGTTCATATTTACTTTTTATGTTTCTCTTGACTCTGTGTTTGAATTTTAAAGTTTCTACTCAGTGCTGGTCTTTTCATTGAGAAAGGTTAGAATCATCTATTTCATTAAAAGTGCATTTCCCCCTGTAGGATTGTACTCAGTTTTGCTAGGTAAGATATTCTTGGTTGTAAGCCTATATCCCTTGCTTTCTGGAATATCATATCACAAACTCTTGGCTCCTTTAAAGGAGTGGCTGCTAAATTGTGTGTGATCCTGGCTAAAGTTCCTCACCACTTATATTCTTTCTTTCTGACTGTTTGTACTATTTTTTCTTTGACCTAGGAGCTCTGAATTTTGGCTGGACATTTTCATTCTGGGGTTTCTATCAGGAGGTGACTGGTGGATTCTTTCTATTTTCACTTTGCCTTCTGGTTCTAAGAGATATGGGCATTCATCTTTTATGATTTCTTGAAATACGATGTCTAGCTAGGCTCTTTTTATGGTCATGGCTTTCAGGTAGTCCAATGATTCTTAAATTATCTCTCTTGATCTGTTTTCCAGTTAACTTATTTTCTGGGTAAGTTATTTTTGTTCTGATATACCTTACATTTTCTCCTATTTTTAAAGCCTTTTGACTTTGTTTTAATATCTCTTGTTGTCTATGAAGTCATTGTTTTCTAATTTCCAGGGAGTTTATTGCTTGGTCAAGGCTTTGTGCCTCCTGTGCCAAACTGTTAATTCCCTTTCCAATTTTTTCTTCCATAACCCTTTTTTTCCCCCAGTTTTCCTCTCTAGTCCTTTCATTTAATTTATAAAAAACAAAACATTTTCAACTCTTTTAAAAATTCTTGCTTTAGCTGTTTTGGGAAATCTACATGAATTTGTGCTCCAGTTGTGTTTTCCTTTGTGTCTTTGCTTATAGATGTTTCAGAGTCATTCTGTTCTGCATTTTATCTTGAGTTCCCTTCTCACCATGTTAGCTCTTTTTGTTGTGATTTTCTTTTATTTGTTTGTTCTTCCGGCCTGATTTTGGGCTTTATATTAAGGCCATGCCTTTCTGGAGGGAAGGTCGTTTCTGCTCCTGCTGCTGCTTTCTTGGACTATTGAGTATTATATTATTTCAGGATCTCAGGAATAGCTCAGGCTAGAGATTTGCAAGCTTACACTGCTCCCAGAGTGGTCTGTTCCAGAGTGAGGGTTGATTGCTGACCTTTCTAGTATGAGCTCTGCAAGTTCTTGACATAGGTCTGGGTCTGAGCACCAGGCCTATGAGCTGGCCCCATTTGGAGTTCCAGTAGACTGCTGCTGTAATATCTGTGCAGGCTTAGGGTGACAGAACTGAAGGCTCCCTTTTGGTCTAGGATTCATGCTCTGGTTATTTATTCTACTGTATACTTCAGACTGGTCTAGAGGCTGGAACTGAGACCCTGCTGTGTTCCTGGGGTCCTAGACACACAGATGTTGCTTTCTTCTGAATTTACTCCTTGTTTATTACACAGCCTAGGGCCCACTACCAGTCCTTACCTGAAATGCCATCCCTAGCTGCAAATACCCCTTTCAGTCATCTCTGTATCTATGAGCAAGAGCTGAGTGGTAAGCAACAGAGCTTCTAGTTTACAGCCCTTCTGCACCCTGGACAGATTTGGTCTTTCTGTGCTGGATATGTCCTGGTGTAAGCCTCTCCTTGAACTGGAGTGCTCTGTGATACAGTTCCTGGCCAAATCCCATCACCAGGAACTGCAGACTTCCTATGTATCTTCCTACTCTGGCTGCCTTCCTATGTGAACCTGGGCTGGAAAAATAATTTACTGTGTTGTTGTTGTTTTCTTTAATTAATTAATTAATTAATTATTTTTAATTTCCCAATCAGGATTTGGTCTGGTGCATTTTCTAGGTCAGTTTGTTGGTGGGGAAGGAGGCAGCCTGACTGTACTTCTTCCAACTCCCTTGCCACTTTGGCTCTATCTTCTTAAAACTGAATTTTAAAGCATTGTGGCAATGTTGCCTTATTAGCAGTACGACTTTGTACTTTTACGATGATTAGAACATTTTTGAGAACTTCCTAGAACTGACTAAAACTTTGGTAAAATCTGTTTCAGGCTGACTCTTGCTTGTGGTGGAATTGCAATGAATTCCCTTGATGACCTCACTCCAGATTGCTTGGGCCATGCTGGACTTGTTTATGAGTATGCATTAGTAAGTATTTTTTTATTTCTGTAAATTATTGAATACTGATCATGAAACTATCAAGTTGTGCAGTTTGAAATCTGCACAACACAGACATTAACATATACAACTTATTCAGGTAACTTTTGGTTGTGTTCATGTACAAGAACCAAATGTTACTTTTAATACTTTTATTTATGTTTAACAAGAAGAGCCATGTAAAGTTTGTGCCTACAATGAATTTTTTAAGTTTTAGGGGAATTGAATGTATTTCATAACCATATGGAAGAACATATGTGACATCTTAGCTATGCTTTAGGGGGAAGAAAAGTTCACCTTCATCGAGAAATGTGACAACCCTCGTTCTGTAACCCTGTTGGTAAAAGGCCCAAATAAGCACACGCTCACACAAATTAAGGATGCAATCAGAGACGGACTGCGTGCTGTCAAAAATGCTCTTGATGATCGTAAGCTACCTTTTGTTTTGGTCTTGAACTCCTTGAAGGCGATTTTAAAATAATACTGAGAGACAGTGAGATATAGTAGAAATATAGTAGAGATAGAGAGCTAGTCTCAAACTCAGGAAGAACTGGGTTCAAGTCCTGTCTCTAATACAGCCTGGCTATGAGACCCTAGTCAAGTCAATTGACTTTCTAGTACATTAGGCTTCTCAACTGGCTAAGATGCTAAGTTCAAAGAAAGTTCTGACTTGCATTGGTAGAAGGTGTTTTTTTACCTGGGTGTTCCCTCTACCAAAGAAATTACAGGTCTAGTCTCGATTCCTAACACTAAGAAATCTACTATGATACCGTGATATTCTGTATGCCATAAAGTGAGACCTATCACTGTGCTTATTTCATCAATGGTTTATATAGCTAGACACCAATCTAAAATAAGTACTTTCTATTTTAATGATAGACTCCTTTTTAAATTAGTGTGTAGTTATGAAAGGTACATGAACATATTTTAATGTATTTAAAATTGCTTTATAGTTCTTTATAGTTTTTCAAAACACTTTCCCCTATTGACTCTCATTTGATCCTTACAGCCACCCTGTAAGGGAAGCCAGACAGATGTTATTATTATCTCCATTTTATAGAGGAAGAAGGCAAGCCAAGCTGAAGTTTAGGAGAAGCTGTGACATGGGCAGCGTTCTGGAGCAGTCTTGGTGCTAGGCCTTTCGCTCTGGTTTTCTGACTCCACACACAATGTTGTTTTTACTACAACATGCTGTCATCACAGTCACTTTTGAAGGAATCATCTCAAATCATCCCAAATCAAGAATTAAAACTGACCACCAGATAGCTTATCTGCTATCTTGACAAGATAATGCAAAGTATCCTTAAGAGAGAGTGAGAGAAGGGGCAGCTAGGTGGCACAGTGGACAGAGCACCGGCCCTGGATTCAGGAGGACCTGAGTTCAAATCTGGCCTCAGATACATAACATTTACTAGCTATGTGATCCTGGACAAGTCACTTAACCCCATTTGCCTAGCCAAAAAGAAAGAGAGAGAGAGAGAGAGAGAGAGAGAGAGAGAGAGAGAGAGAGAGAGAGAGAGAAGGGAATAAATCAGTCCTTAAGAGGCACTGCCTCTGAAACTTAATCATAGAGAATACACTCTGAAATAGAGCTATTCTGCTATCTAGATGTTTCTTTCAGCCTCAGTTATGAGGGAGTAAACAATGAAAGAGGAGAGAGAGGGAGAGGTTCTGTTTGAAGTCCCTTGTCTGTACCATGTTTAATTATTTATTTAACTGCCTCTACCTTTAGAGCTCCATAAGGCAACCTCATAATCACTGAGCTGTGAAACTTCCACTTGTCAGATTTCTGTGCGTATTTAAATACCATTCAGATATCTGTGAGAAATAGCACACACTTGACTACGCTAATTGCTTTCTTTTATATTTTTTCTGCATGGTATGTCTTGTCAATCGTTTCTTTTCCTTTCCAATAGACTGTGTAGTTCCTGGTGCTGGTGCAGTTGAAGTGGCAATATCTGAAGCTCTTGTCAAACACAAATCCAATATCAAAGGAAGAGCCCGCCTTGGAGTCCAGGCTTTTGCTGATGCATTGCTCATTATTCCAAAGGTGTCAATCTATCCTGTTGGTCAGAGGAGAGGTGGCTAGAAAGATGCTTAAGTAATCACATGGTATCTTTAATAGCTGGCATAGTAGAAAGAGACTACACGTATTTACTTGCATTTAGTCACAATTTCCCTCTTCATTTGCAGATATTTTGCTTCTAAAATGGGGGAAATTATGTGGTGACAGCTGTGAACACTATGAGGGGCTTCATGAGGGGGATAATTTCTCTCCTGGGAGGCTTCTTAGATAACAGCTTTGGAAGTTATCTTCATAAAGGGTTCAATTTGAAAGGGTACTGATAGCCATAGAACTCTTATCCTCTGTTGGCCAGAGCTAAGGTATCATCAACTTTAATTTCTCTTTATCACTGAAGGGTTCAGGATGTTTAGCCTCCCCTCCTCTGCCCCCAGTTACTAGCCCAGGTTTGTCAGGGACAGCTATGACTTGAGATGTTATTTTCATTTCTACAGAAAAAGGAGATGCCAGATTTCTTTTGGGAAACAGAAGAAACATAGAGGAAACCTTCTTTGCCACAATTTGGATTCAAGCCACCACTGGGAGACATATGCCACCCCTCCTCCTTCTAATAAATTATTTTAGGCTGAATTCAGACTTTAAGAGGAAATCAAGTAAAATAGCACACCTTTATTCTGAGTACTGCAAAAACTATCCATTATTTGCGAAGTCCTGAGTCAGAGACTGAACTCCCTTCCCCTGCTTAAACAGCAGGACTAATAAATAAGTCTCTTTGATAATACATGTATATTAATATGGCTAAGATTTATTATAAGAAGCACTCAATATCTACCAAAAAGGGGAAAGCTGTAGGGGGGAGAGGAGCTCTTGAATTTCCCCTTCAGTACTTGGAGTAATGGGTATGTGCTGAGTGAGTAAATATGGAGTCAAATTTATTGTTGACAGACTCCAGTACATCCTGATCTTTTTAAACCATTATTTATGGTTATTTCACATTTATTCCACACGATTTGAATAAACAAAACCCTGACTCTCTCTTGAGGGCACTGCACCTATTGTACCCTCCCCACTGGATCCCACTCCCCCCACTCTCCTCTGACTTGGGGCTAAGAGGACGGCATGACACATTCTCTTTATTTTTCCCCACTCCTGCTTCCAGACCATCCTTCTTGCCAACACCTTTCAACTCCCTTTTCTCTTTGGAAGTATGTATAGTTCATTTTTACTAACCTTTTCTCAGTCTTGATGCTCCAGACCTCTCTTCAGTCCCTGTCTCTTGGCAGCTTGGTGTGGGGGCTAGGCTGCTGGGCCTGGAGTCAAGAGACCTGGGTCTGAATCCTACCTCTCACTAACTCTGTGACTACTGGCGAATCACTTAAGCTCTCAAGGCTTCCGTTTCCTCATCCATAAAACAGGATAATAGTGTTTGCATTACTTACCTTAGAGTATTGTTATGAGGAAAGTGCTTTGAGAACCTTAAAGTGCTATATAATTGAATTAATTTTATTATAGTTCCTTTCTACCCTGCTCAGCTGAGATATTTGTAAAGCACAAATGCCTTAACACAGTGCCTGGCACACAGTAGGCTCTTAATAAATGCTAATTTCCTTCTTTCCTTCCATTTTCTGTTGGCATCCTCATTATGCATATTGATGATTCTTCTTAACAATTGAGCATACAATTCTTTACCTCCAATGACTCCAATCCATTTCAGCAACATATTAGTATGGTCACACCTTAGACTTCACCATCTTGGAATTATGACCTCTATAAGATCCCGACTATTGAAATTCCAGTTTCTGGCCACGGCTTTCTATCTTTTCATTGCTGTCACACTAAATCTCCTCTCACTCATCTTAACCTATACCTGTTCTCCTGAACTGGCTTCACTAGCCGTGATGCTAGAATTCCTTGTTCCTCCAACCTTATTCTATTTCTGGCCTGCTGACCTCTTTGGGTAACTTCTGTCATCAGGTTATTTTTCTGTTCCTGTTTCTGGATTGTTGAGTACTTTGAGAAGTCATGAAACTGAGCTGATTTCACTCTCTGCAGATTGATGGTAACACAACCTCTGTTTGGTCCTTGTAGCTTCTGGCCCAGTTTCCTACTCTGCTGTTCCAGACTCCCTATCTCATTCCCTGCAGTGACTATTCCAAAGCTTTTATTTTATCGTCAAGTCTCCAACTGCATGCCTGCACCTCAGAGTTAACAATAGATGGCTTAGTCTTTTCACAAAGTACGTATTTAGACTATCTGACATGAGAAGCCTTAATTGCCTGCTCTCATTCCTGAAATACCCCTGCATCGTTATCGTCTTTCTTCTCTTTCGCTGTGGTCATCTGAGAGGTAGTCCGTCACCTCTCTGTGACTCCTCATCCTCTTCTTTATACCTTTGTGGTGGATGTTCCCCAAAGGTCTGTCCTTTGTTTTCTCTCACTAGGCAAATGCATTCATTCTCAAGAATTCAACCATTACTTTTATGCAGGGTAACTACCACTTCTGTTATCCTTGAGCCCTCTCCTCTCTTCAGAGTTCTACACTTGTATCTTCTTTTTTTTAAATTCTGAATTTTTGTAGAGAGCTTTTGTCTTTATGTTTATTTTCAAATATGTCCCATTCCTATACCCTATCCTGCAAACCATCGCTTCTAACACCAACAAAAAAGAGGAGAAAAAACAGTTCAGCAAAACTAACCAATATCCTGGGTCTGGTCGTGTATGCTGTATTCTCCACCCATTGTCTCCTATCTCTGCAAAGGATGGTGAGAGGCTAGCTTTTATTGTCTCTTCTTCAAGGACAAGCATAAGCAGATAGGCACTGGCAGGACTTTGGTGCTTGGATGTCTTATTGCTACCTCAGACTCAGCCTGTCAAAAACCAGATTTATTATCTTTCCTCCTAAATGTTTTTCTTCTTGACTTCACCTTTTTTGTCAGTGACACCAGGATTTTATCCACTCTCCCATTATATATCACTTCTTTATTGACACGGGGCCCGCTGACCTGTCTTCTTGCTGTTTTTAGTATATGCGTTCTATCTCCTGTCTGTGCCTTTGCACAGGCTGTCCCTCTCATTCTTGGAATGCCCCCCTTCTTCACCTCTACCTCTTTGAATCCCTGCATGTCTTCAAAGCTCAGCTCCAACATCACCTTCTATGAGTCCTTTTCTGTTGTCCTAGCTGCTAGCACCCCCCAAAACTACTTTGTACTCACTCTCTGTGTACTTTGTAGTTGTAGGTATATGTGTTCTTTCCACCTAATGGAGTCTAAGCTCCTTGAGGGCTTTCATTTTTGTTTTGTATCCCCCGTGCCTAGCACACAGTAGGCTCTTACTGCATGCTTCTGGATTGATTGAGCCATCCTTCCACTTCTCATGTTCAAGCAGTTTTCAGTTCCTGTCAGTTCCGTCTCTACCGTCTCTCACACTCCTTCCTTCCTTCCTTTCTACTTCACACATCACTTTCATCATCAGCTGCCCAGGTTGCAGTAACTTCCTAATAGGTCTTCCTGTCCCCACTCTCTGCACCTTCCAATCTATATATGCATTCTTTATACAGAGATGTAGCCATGGCCATCTTCATAAGGTCTTAGAAATGAATTTGTTTTCTACGCCAGTGTTGTTTTGCCGTCGTCTCTGCACTTGGCAGTCAGTCAGTCAGATGTTTGCTGACTCAGGTGCTTTCTGTGCTCCTTTGCTCTTAGTGTGGCAATTAATTTACATAGGCTGAACTTCTGTATCAAAGTATTATAATTGTTGATGTAATTTTAGTTGTTCGTTTCCTATTTGTCATGACCAGTTGTTTAAATATTTTAATATTGAGTTGTTTCAGTTGTTTGACAGTGGTGTGACCGTACACAGAGAGATAATTCAGGGGTACCTCTACCTGTTAAAGTAGAATCAGTTTCAGTTTTTGTTGTATTAATTGGTGCTTATCATGTCCAGAACCTACATATTTTTTCCTTGAAGAAAATGTTCATAATGTAAAGGTATGAGGTTTCTGTGGAGTCTCTAAGTCTTCCTTTTATTTCTTCTTTCCGAGCCATGCTTTCCCATATATTTCTCACCATTCTGACCTCTTTCTGCCTTTGTGTTAAAGTCGTCCATTGTCAGAATACTTAGTAATTTAATTTGGAGGGTTTTATTCACTTTCCTGTAGAATTTCTCTACCTCTTCATCCCCTGCAGCTGTTTTTGGTTCATAAGCTACAGTTATTTTTATGGTGGTCTTTTTGCAGATATTTGCCTAGAGGACTACAATTCAATACGATCAGATATTCTGTGAAATAATATTTCTAATTGCCTTTGTATATATAATAAAAATAAAACTGAATTTCACATTCTCTTTCCTTATTCCTCAAAGGAAACCACCCTTCAAACCAAAGCCAACCTTCCTTAGCTACAACTTTATTTTTTCTTCTGGTTTTGTTGATAGTGAGAATGTCAAGATTGGTGATTCAGCGCCATTGGTGGTCACTGGACAAGGCCCTCACCTTTAGAGTATCAACATTTAGAGTCATAGATTGCCCCAAAGCTGGTCTTTGTATCCTCTGTCCCTTCCTTCCCCATTTTCACCACTGCCACCATCACTGCAAAATTGGAAGAGGCTGCACGGGACTGGGAGACGTTTTGTATTTTAGTTTGCTTGATAGTTTCCCATGGCCCAAGATGTCATCACCAAGTGGTCAGCCTGCTGGTGATAAGGCCCTTTGTTCGTAGTGAAGTTAGTCCTTAGAAAGCAGATGTCTACTCAGCTCCTGACAGGGAAGTGATGAACTCAAAATGGAGGCTGAGACTTGTTTTTGTACATGGACAATGTGGGAGCTTGCTTGCTTTGATTGTGTGTATTTGTTATAATGGTTCTATTTTGTTTCCAGTTTTTGAGGGGAGGAAGGAAAGGTGGGAGAAGGAGGGAAGTGGGGCTAGGAATAGGATTCCACCATTCCCTGCCTCCAAAGAGAAGAAAACAGAAAAAAGGTCCTATGGAAACATAAGCAGGAATTTGTACACTTAAAAAGAAAAGCAAGCCTTATGTAATGGAGATTTGCAGTTTTGTGCACAATTCTCTCTTGTTCTACAATATATACAGAAATACTTATATTGCACTTATTAATAAACAAATCTAAGCCTTTTCTCATTCCTCATCCTTCTTAACCTGTATGAAGCCTTTGGCATTGCTGACTTCTCTCTCCTCTTGGATTATTTCTCTTTTCTGGGTTTGGTTTTTGTTTGTTTTTTTAACGTTGCTGTCTCTTGTTCCTCTTTCTTCCTGAATGACTGCTCCTTTTCTATGTCCTTTATTGAATCATCGTATCACAATCACTAACTGTAGGAGTCCCGCAAAACTCTCTTATCTAATTATTTCAAAACTTCTCTCATCTAATTGGAGGGTTGTATCATCTTCCATTGGTTTAATTATAATTTTTATGCCATGGAATCCTGAGCTTCACTCCCATGTCATACTGACAAATCCAGTCAGTTGCCAAATCTTGGTATTTCTACCTGCAGCTCTCAAGTCTGTATTCTGACTGAATAGTTAGAAGCCACCACCCTAGTCTAGACCTTCATTACCTCTCTCCTCAACTGTTAAAATAGTCTCTTAATTGTTCTTCTTACCTCAAGTCTCTCTTCATCCCAATTTACCTTTCATACAGCTGACAACTTAATATTTCTAAAGTATTGGTCTGACCATGTCACTGCCCTGCTCAAGAAGCCTCAGTGGCTCCCATTGCTTAAAGAATAAAATAAATAGTTCTCTGTTTGGCTTTTAAAACTCTTAATAACTTGGCTGAACTACTTTTCTAGCCTTTAGAATTAGCATTACAATCTATGGTCTAACCAAAGCAGCCTTTTTGCAGTTCCTCCCATATCTGTGGTTTGCACTGGCTGTCTCTCATGCCTAGGATGCATTCTCTCTTCATCTGTGTCTCAGAATCCCTAGTTTCTTTCAAATATTGCTTGAGTCACTTGCTGCATGAATCTTTTCTTCATCCCCACCAAACAACCTTGTACTTATTTTGTACATATTTATATAGGTACATGCTGTCTTCTTGATTCTTTCGCCCTTCTGGGTTTTCACAGCACTGCTGTATCTTGTTTCTTCCAGAATATAACACTCCTTGATGATTTGGGCCTTTTTTTATTCTTGTCTTTGTGTCCCTAGCTGTGTCCCCTGGTACGAGGTAGGCACTTAATAAATGTTGTGATTAGAGCCGAATGGAAACTTGGTGTTTATCTCATTCAGCCTGAAGTAGGAATATCTTCTTGAATTGAGGAATTGGGTTTCTACAAATAGATACATTAAGATAGAATTTTTTTGTATCTGTCCTTCATAACTAGAGAACAATGACCTATTTTTAATTTTACCACTTGACATTCATATATACTTTTTTTTTCCTCTCTATATTAAAGGTTCTTGCTCAAAATTCTGGCTTTGATCTCCAGGAAACACTAGTAAAAATTCAGGCAGAACATGCAGAAACAGGAAGACTTTTTGGCATAGATTTGAACACAGGTAATGGAAATGTAGTGATCATGAATGAAATCATTAGCCACTAAAGAAATTCATTTTAAGGCAATGTAGAAAATTGTCTCCTAGAAACTTTGATATGTTGTTTTATCATTATAATTTTCTTTCACATAATTTTTAATTGTTCCTATGACTTGCTCTTTAATCAACTTATTACTTAGGATTTCATTGTTAGGATTCCATTTGACTCTGTCTTTTGTTTGTGCTCCCTGAATTCATTTTTTAAGAAAAAATATTACGTTGTGGTCTATAAAGGATGTGTTTACTATTTCTGCTTTTGTCATTTATTTGCAATATCACTGTCTTAATACACAATCACTTTTTGTAAGTGTTTCGTGTGGTGCTGAACAATTTATATATTCCTTAGCAGTCTCATTTAGAAAATGCCGTATGTCTTTAAGCTCTGATTTTCTAGCAATTTGTTTAAATATGTATTTTCGCTTTTGCTTATCTTTCTGCTGGATTTGTCCAGAACTTTGTCTTCTGCTGCTATTGTATTTACTATATGTCTTCTTGTATTGAGTTATTTCTTCTTTCGTGACTTTAGATTACAGGCATTTGGAGCATATTTTAATATTGATATCAGGTTGTTATCTATGCTTTCCTTTAGTATAATGTAATTTCCTTTTTTACCTTTTTTATTACTGTAGATTTTTGTTTTTGCTTTGTCTGATATCAGGATTGCAACTCCTGGTTTTTTTTAATTTTTTTTTGTTGTTGTTCATTTGATACATAGTAGATTTTCTTCAAGCCTCCCATTCTTCTTTGGTGTGTTTCTTGTCAGAAATAGATTGTGGGAGTTTTGTTTTCTTATCTAATCTGTCAGTCTTTTTTAGTTTTATTGGCTTATTTAACCCATTCACATTTAAAGTTATCAGAAGTTGGTCTTTATTTTCTTCTGTTTATCTCTAATATTGCCTTTTCCCCCTTGGAACAGGATTTTTTCTTCCTTTCAATGTAGCAGTTTTTATATGGGAGAATGCTTGGTTGTTATTTGATTTTAGCCTTTTGAAAGAGAAAATATAAATGCGTGGCAATAGTCTTAAGAGACTTTATTTTATTTTCTAGGTGCACCAATACTACCAGCAGAATCAGGAATTTGGGACAACTACTGTGTGAAAAAGCAACTCCTTCATTCTTGGTAAGGTTGGATTTCTATGAAGAAGGGGAAAAAAACCTCTCATGATCCTATCTGATAGCTTTTTTCTTTAAAAAAGAATTAAAATTCTCTATGAACTTTTTCAGTTAGATTCAGACATAGAAAATGTGGTATTTTTGAAAAAATTTGATATTCATCATTAGATTATGCCATATTTTTTCAGTAATTTTATTTTTACCTCTAAGAGGAAAACTTGGTTTCCCTGTTCATTCAATAACAAGCATTTATTAAGTACTTACTATGTGCCAGTCATTGTGCTAAGCACTAGGTATACAAAGAAAGGTAAAAATAGGCCCTACCCTCAAGAAACTTACAATCTAATGGGAGAATCTTTAAAATAATAGCATTGCTAAATCACTAATGAATATATGTGTACATATACATATATGTTCATTATATATGTATGTATACACATACACACACATATGTTGGAGAAGGAGAGAGAGAGAGAGGGAGGGAGAATATCAAGCAAATTACAGGGCTTTAAGTTCTAGCCCATAGGTCACGTCTACAGAGGTACTTTAAACAAGAAAATAGGGACAGTATTTCTATTTTTAATAGCTTGCACTATCTTTGGCTCACAAAAACCTTATACTAATAAAAAGTGAAGAATGAAGTTCCCAGTGTAGCTGAAGATTGGTAGGGGGAGGAAGGATGGGTTGGTGTGCATTACTAAATCTGTCATCTGTTTCTTTAGCACAGTGATTGCTACAAACATTCTCTTGGTTGATGAAATTATGCGAGCTGGTATGTCTTCTCTCAAAGGATGAATTGAATTCCAAACCAGCCTTGGAAGTTGAGTTTCAGTACATCTGTGCAGCAGTTGCCCATATATTCTAATACATTTTGAATTTTTACAAATAAATGCAGTTTTTTTTTGCCTTCATTGGTTTTAAACTAGTTTTAAAATATTTTTCGTGGAAATTCATAGAATAAAAAGTGATTATTTTAAAGAAATTGTGATAACAACCTTAATTGTAGAACTCAAACCTCCAGTTGAATAACAGCGTCCAATGTGGTGATTACAGTGTGGTGTGGTGGAGAGTGCTGTGCTTGGAGCAAAGGAGAAAACTAAGTTTAAATCCGACCTCTCACATTTGCTAACTGTGTGACCATGGGCAAATCACTTAGCCTTTCTGACTCTCAGTTTGCTCATCTGTAAAATGGGCAATAATAATACCTTTAGTAAGTACTTCAGGGTTCTTGTAAAGATCAAATGAGATAATATGATAATAACTATCATCATCATCTGTATTATTCTTACTGAGATGAGTTTATATACCATAATCATTAATATTCTGTAGGATTCCTGTTGGGAGTGATATGGCTCCTTATTTGGGATTAGATTTCCTCTGCTTTCATTTTAATAGCAATAGTTGTTCTGTAATGTGGTACTGTCACTTTCTCTTCTAAATGTAGAAATAGAATCATAAAATATTAAGAGTTGAAAGGAACATTATAATTTGCCTGGTGTAATCGCTATCTGAAACAAGAATCCCTCCAGGGCATACCCGATGAGACTGCTGCACTTGGAACCTTCAGTGACAATGAACTCATTACCTCTTAAGGCAGTTTATAGCATTTTTAGTTAGCTTTAATTTACAGGAGGTTTTTCCTTAGGTTGAGCCAATGGGCCAAGATTAGCCCTCTTTTAATTAGTAGGAAAAAGTTGTAGACTGAAGAGATGGATAAAGCCTGTTTTAAACTAATTTATTAAGCTATGTTACACATGTCCTGGCTATGCAGGTACTAGTTAGAGATAGAGAACTAGTCTAAGGTTATATATTTTACAAGTAACCAGTAACCAGTACTGTAATATTAATTCAAACACTACTTAAGTGGGTTCTGAGATGAAACAGGTTTCAAGTAGTTTAGTGTTCAAAAGTTGCCACTCAGTAAATGGATAATTATGGTAACTGCATTCTCAGATGTTAGGCCCTAAAACCTGGAGGGGATTATTTTGGTTTCCTATACAAATGCAGTTTCTAGATATTCTAGCTGTTTTTCTTGTTACACTTGCCACTTCCTACTAGATGTCCCTGTAGTAACTTCTTTTTAAGGGCATGCACTAGTATTTGACTGAAGTAACAAATTTGCACAAATGGAGCTTCAATCAGACTCCACTCTGTGTGCATAAGGGACGTGGGGAGGTAGGCTGAAGGTTTTACTATTTGGTTAGCTATGCCTGTTTTCCCAGATCATGTGTATACATGGACATAGGAGAGAGCCTCTCTTGACTATAGTGACAGATTCAATATATCTTGCATCTGGTTCTCACCTCTCCACATTCAGAATGAACAAGATGAATAGGAACTGTGGGAAAAGGAAATGGGCTGATCATGTAGCAAGAATGAGACAACAGCTTGAGTGGTACCTTGGTACCCCCAAGATACTGAAAAGAACAAGAGAAAAATCTACAGCCTGTTGGCTAGATCCTCTGGAGGATTTCTAGGAATAATAGTAGCACAGGATGATAAAAGCATGAAGAGACTATGGTAGGAGCAACATTTGCTATACATCTGATTGGGAACTAGGGCATTAGGTCCTATTGTTGCAGAGCTAGAAATTTATCATGCATGGCCCAAGAAGAATGGAATGTCTCTGCCACACAGGCTAGTTTTTCTCTAACCAAGGCAATGTAAGTGTCCTTGAGACCCAATTGATCTAGCAGTGCTTCTTAAACTATGGGTTACTGCCCCAAATGGGGTTGCAAAGAATTTGGCAACAGTAAGAGATTTCTGAATGCACAACGACCAAAAATTAATTAAAAATCAAACGCTTAATGAATCTGAGGTGTTTCTGGCAGCGCTTGCCCATGTTGCATCGGCAACTTCACTGTAGCCTTGGTTCTGAACACACAACATGCGCACTTTGCACTGCACATGCCCTCAGGCCACGTAACGCCAACTAAGGCTGCCAAAACCAAAAAAGGGAAGCATTTAAGAAGCCCTGGTCTAAGGGACTAAGGCTCAAATCATTTATGTCATTTTATAGTTGCCTAAGACATAAAAGCTCAGAGTATGAATATTTGAGAGCAGCTAAGATATGGCATGGTGGATAGCATGCTGGACTTGAGGAGTGAGGAAGCTTCATCTTCCTGAGTTCAGATCTGGTCTCAGACACTTACTAGCTGTGTGACCCTGGGCAAGTCACTTAATCCTGTTTGCCTTAGTTTCCTTATATGTCAAATGAGCTGGTGAAGGAAAGTAAACTGCCCATGGATACTTTGCAACTGGAGACAGAAGTATATGCACTCTTGGCCCTTAAGGACCCTGTTCTGAAGGCAGAGGAACCACTCATGGATTTAGTAACAGCCCATGTAAAAGAGGTTGTACTAGTTGGGGCAGGGACCAACTCATGGGTGGCAAATATGGTTTCTGATCCAAAGATTTCACTGAACATTATGCTGAATTCATATCAGGGCTAATGAGGGAAGAGAATGGGAATGAGAGTGAGGCTGAGAGCTGGAAGCCTGTTTTAATGGTGAGAGAACCTTGGGTCTACCTATTATTGCCCCCAGGGGAGACTTCTTCCACAAGGAGGTCAGAGATGGGAGGCTTTCATCACCAAGGAACTCAGGAGGGTGAAGGACAAGTTTAAACAACTTAGTAAGGCATTAGAATAATGGTTGGTGAGGGCATATGCTGTTGGGATCAATGTAGAGATCCTCTTGGCCACAGAGTCCCATTAATTTTGGGATCTCATGGAAGACATTTACAAAGCCATTTAAATTAGTCAGAGGCCCTGAATGGGGACAGTCCTTTGACCCTTTTTAGGTGGCCAAGATGGGGAGCTGTATACACCATACTCTACCAGAAAGATGAGTTGCCTTTGCAGCCGGTTCTCCAGTAAGTGTCAGCAAGAGCTAGAGTAAAATCCAAAGAGATGAATTTAGTGGTATGCCTCCATACCACCCTAGTTGTGGGTCCTCCATGCTCTGTGACCATTCTGGGTAGAATCCAACCAGAGTAGTGAGTAACATCAGGCTTTAGCCATGTACCTCACCTAGCACACCATCTTATAGCAGATCAACTGGTGAAATTTGTTTTGTTTTGTTTTTACTTTTTAGGCATTTGGGGTTAAGTGACTTGCCCAGGGTCACACAGCTAGTACGTGTCAAGTGTTTGGTCTGAGGCCAGATTTGGACTCAGGTCCTCCTGACTTCAGGGCCGGTGCTCTATCCACTGTGCCATCTAGCTAACCCCTCCAACTGGTGAAATTTGAATGGGAAATCTGGACAACCCCAGCTGTTGACCATGCAAATACAGCTGACTAGACAAATGGTGGGATAAAACTTAGGACCTTCTGTCCCTCTCAGTGAGTGGAACTTTCTATGAAGAGCTTTGGGTATGACTCCTGAAAGATAGGGAGGAAAAGGAGAATAATGGCCTGCTTATGGAGGATAGTGAAACTAATACTAAACATCTGAGTTTGGGGCAGTAAAGGCCTATCTGCTCCACCTAAGCTTAGGCTATCTCCTAAAACTTCCAACACACTTGATGCTCTGGAGTCTTCCAAATCCCTTTACCTAGGCTTGAGGGATTTCTGGGGTGAATCCCTCTAGGGCAAAGGCAGAGATTCCCCCAAGGTCAGGCAGCTTCTAAAGGTAGGACAGAGTGGGTGTGCCAGTCAATGAACATTTGTTAAGCACCCACTGGTGCCAGGCACCATGCTAAGCACTGGGGATGCAAAATAAGGCAAAAGACAGTCCCTGACCTCCAACTCATAATCTAATGGGGGAGGGGAGGACAACAAGCAAACAGATATAAATGAGTATGCTATGTACAGGGTAAATATAAAATAACAAGGCACGGGGATTGAGAAGGATCTTGTAGAAGGCGGGATTTTATCTGGGACTTGAAGGAAGCCAGGAGGCAGAGATGAGAACGGAGAGCGTTCAAGGTGTGGAGGACAGCCAGTGAAAAGACTTGTAGGTGGAAGATGGAGGGCTGTGTGAGAGGAACAGCATGGATATTATATTATATTCTGGTGGCAACAGGGAGCCATTGGAGTTGGGGAGCAGGGGAGTTAACACAGATCTACATTTTGGGAAAATCACTTTGGTTGCTGTGTGAAGGATAAATTGGAGTGGGGTTAGACTTAAAGCAATAGCCTAGGTGAGGGGTGATAAGGACTTGATTTACAGTGGTGGCTGTGTAAATGGAGAGAAGAGGACATTTTGGAGATGTTATAGAGAAAGAAATGACAAAATTTGGCAATTGGTAAATACGTAGAGTGAATGTGAATGAGGCATTGAGGAGGCTGTACAGTGAGGCTACAAATCTGCGTAACTGGGAGGATGGTGTTAACCCTCAATAGTAATAGGAAAGTGCAGAAGAGGCGTAGATTTGGGGGGAAAGATGAGTTCCATTTTGTTGCATTGGAGATGCCTCTGAGACATCTAATTCCAAATGTTCAATAGGGAGTTGGTGATGTGGGACTGGAGTTCAAGAAAGAGACTAGGGCTGGATTTATGGATCTGGGAATCATCAGCCTCAAGATAATAATTGAGCCCATGGCAGTTGATGAAACCATCATGAGAGTACAGAAAGAAAAAAGAAGAATAGAAAAGAAAAGAAGGCCCTGGACAGAACTTCTGGGAGACACTGGTAGGTGTGACACGAAGCTCTAGCAAAAGAAACTGAAGAATTGGCAGACAAGTAGGAGGAGAATGAGGGGAGGGCAATGTCCCAGAAAAAATTAGACAGGAGAGAGTATCCAGGAAGGAGGGATCTCCAGGAGGAGGAGAAGGTGACCAACAGAGTCAAATGTTGTAGACTGGTCCTCTTCGAGAAAGAAGAACGAACAACAACGAGGACAAGGACCTAGAAGATGCTGTTAGGGTTGGCCGTTTAGAGATGAATGGCACCT